CAGTCCCCTGTACGTCAGAAAACAGCTGGCAAAAGTCATGCATGTGTATAACAATATGATACATGCACACGTTTATAATGATATCAAATAAACACAGTCATGACACTATGCAATGGAGATGTCTATTTGAAGTATGGGGTCAAATCCTGGTTCTCCCCGATTATGTTTCCAGGTTTGTCAGCACCATATCCGTGCTCGTGGGTTTCACTAAAGTTGTAAACGTCTAAGACCTCCTCACCTCAGGCTCTTCTGCTACATTAAGCTGACACGTGTGGATATATCTGGAAACTTTTAGAGGCAGCGTTAAACCCAACTCACTCACTCTAATCCCGGTTCCCATGGGGACCACTGTCTTGTTCCAAGAAGTGACCCACCGTTATCAATTCCAGAATAGAATGCTAATGACTAGTTGATCTCATTTCAACCCCTAATCATGTTTGAAAACAGTCGTCCTGAAGCCCCCAGTTGTGGTACTGTTTGATCAAAACCTTGTGTATTGCAACTTTAATATTGCTATTATCATCTACATCGGAAATAAAATTAATAAGAAGAAAAATAATCCATATTTGATTTCATTTGATCTTGAAAGGTGAAACTATATTCTTCCTGTTGCAACTAATTGTAATTTGGGATTGGGATCAGGTAGTCATGAAATAATATACCGCTTGGAGAAAACTACTGATAGTTGGTTAACTGTAAACACATCGATACGATTATGTTTGAAAAGAGACCAATTGTTTTTTTACTTACCGTATTCGACATAATAAGCGCCTCGCTCTAATAAGCCCCAATTAGCACCCCTTCCAATTGATCAATGTACACAAGACTTATTTATTCCTGTATAATACGCACTCGTGTGTTATATGCACCCTTAATTATGGGCATTTAATTCTGGAAAAATTTATCTGTCGTACATAAGCATTTCAGGCTGTCAGCATAAACCACGAAATTTATCTTTCAACCAAAATAACATTCTAATAAGAGCCCCCTATTTGTAATTTTGAGAGCGCCCTGCACGCTTATTACGTCAAATACGGTATGTGATTTACAGATTCAGATACTGTTGATGAACCTCCACAATCAGAATCTGAACCCTCATAAACGATACAGCAACCAGAGGAATTGCAGGTACTTGCGAAAACAGAGGCAGCCCTGTTACCCCTCACTAAAGTCTAAAAATAAACACCATTTACGTCCCAAAACATCACTTCGAGACGTTGACCTTATTCAAGTCTAGGATTGTCCAAATACAAGCGCAACAGTAACTGGCAATGAAAGAGACAGGCATGTTTCACATGACCCCCAAAGATGACCTTGACCTTTGATAAACATGGCACCAACATTTCACGTGGTAAGATTTGTAAGGATACATGCAGATATAAAGTTTCATGCATGAAGAGGTACCGTAACTTTGCCCCAGGAACTTGACAAGGACATAAACATGCTTTACAAAAAAACCTGAATGCTGACCTTGACCTTTGACCAATCTCATCCTAGGGAAGGGGCATACCAAGATTAATGTTTTGTTTGTTTGATGTTCAACGCCGCATTCAGCAATATTCCAGCTATATGATGGTGGCCTATCGAGTCTGGACCAAGCAATCCAGTGATTGACATCATGAGCATCGATCCACACAATTGGGATACGATGACATGCATCAACCAAGTCAGCGAGTGTGACCACCCGATCCTGTTAGTTGCCTCTTACGACAAGCATATTCGCCTTTTATGGCAAGCATGGGTTGCTGAAGACCTATTCTTCCCCGGATTTTCACGGGCCCCAAGTTTAATGACAAATGCATCAACACCTTTTGAGAAAGTGGAACCACAAGCTGTTTTGTGAGGTTTTTCTGTCATCACAGACCTTTTGACCTTTTCATGACATTAAATAGAAAAAAAAAAATAAAAAAAATAAAAACAATAAGTTGTAGTGGCGTTAAACAACAAACAAACAAACAAACACTTTGTATTACACGAGACACTCCACAGTGCATACAATGTTAAAGTCATCCCTGGACCAGCCAATGAAGGCTGCTGTTATGTCCTCACAAGTCTAAGTCAGCAGATGACTTATGCTCCAATGTTCTGAAGATCACAACAGCACAATTGCACACTTCAGCGACTTGCCTCTCTGATTGCAAGTACACACCTAGATGGTCTCCAACTGACATCACAGGCAGTCAACTTTGGCAAAACTTGACGCTGTTCTGATCCAAAAAATTTTTGGGCGGTCGGGTAGCCTAGTGATTAAAGCGTTCGCTCATCACGCCGAAGACCCAGGTTCGATTCCCGACATGGGTACAATGTGTGAAGCCCATTTCTGGTGTCCCCTGCCGTGATATTGCTGGACTATTGCTAAAAGCGGCGTAAAACCATACTCACTCACTCACTGTTTCTTCATTCGGCTTCAGCATACCATTATAAATATTCCCTCTTATACCACTACACTTCTGGGGAAGGTACATATCAATCATGTTCAAATTTTATTTCCCAATTTGTAGGCAATTTCCCAATTTGAGGATCAAAATAGTCGTTTGGGATGCATGCATGCCCCAGCGGTCTACATAACTCGCTGTGCAGATTTGCATCCATTAATATTCCAGAATCTGCTCATAGGCTCAAAGGTTCCCCTGTCATGACTCTTGGCTTGTCAGACTACACAGGGCGGTCGGGTAGCCCAGTGGTTAAAGCATTCGCTCGTCACGCCGAAGACCCGGGTTCGATTCCCGACATGGGTACAATGTGTGAAGCCCATTTCTGGTGTCCCCCGCCGTGATATTGCTGGAATATTGCTAAAAGCGGCGTAAAACCATACTCACTCACTCACTCACTCAGACTATACATCTACTGGCCTTTGCCATCCTTACAACAAATCCTTCATCAATGAGAAATGACCAACTTTCTGAATTTGTTGTGTCTGTGTTTGTCTTGTTTGACCTGCACAAATTTACAAACCATTTTTTAAATGTTTTATGAAGAAACACTTTCTTTTATTTCTTGTTGTGTGTTTCTTAAACCATAAGGTTTGGAATGAATGTCACAGGTCTATTTGGTCACAAGGCAGAAATATGTATCATGGTGGCAAGAGTATTCTCCCTTTACAGATGTTGGTAGATGAGCAGTAAAATCCCCTCCTCTACCAGAACGTATGCAGGAACCCACATGCATTTTGACAAATACCACCCACCACGTTGGTTTGATACTACCAATACGGTTGCATGCTCTTGAGAAACTATTTGTAACTATGGTGACAAAACTCAAAATAATCAGTGAAAATTACTCTAAATATGATTAAACCTGAAAATCTAAAATCAATGCAATTTAAAAGCAATAAAATTAGACATCAACATTAAAAAATCAACCAACACATTTTCCATTAATTTTTGGAACTAAAAATGACATATACTCATGACAGCATATATTACAAGCCGCTGGGGGGCACAAGCTCCCCAAACCATGTCATTCTTACTGATGTGGTTGAAAAGCTTAGAATCTATAGTGAGTGAGTCGGGTTTAACGCCGCTTTTAACAGTATTCCAGTAATATCACGGCGTGTCAGCTTAATGTGGGAGGAAAGCCCAAAGTGATGCAGGTCTCAGACGTTTACCACTTCAGTGAAACCCACGAGCACGGGTATGGTCCTGACAAACCTAAAAACATAATCAGGGCGAACCGGGATTCGAACCCACAATCATAGGTTTCTGGCGTGCCCAAGGGACGCAACTCTGCACAGCGAATCACGGCGCCTTAGACGACTGGGCCACCGTGCCCCCTTAGATACTATAACAAGGGAAGGAGCTTGCACACATCCTGCACATAAATGACAGAAGGTTTCCAGTGTAATCCATTGAAATATATAATGATTCTCTTGTCTTTCTACATACGTGTGTATGGTCTAAGTACCTCACAGACAGAGAGAGTTTGCACACAAAACAGTTTTCCTGGGATCCAGTATATTGTTATGGGAGTCAAATCAAAGCTTATAATCAACATCAAACAGAGGACCATTGTGAATAGACGATGCCATTTAATAAGTGGTCAAATGTAACAAAAGTTCCATTTGGGATTACACTCTCTTTGTAAAGTTCAGATTCTAGTACTTTCTGGGGTTGAGTCCCATCAAGGATTTGAACCCACACTCTCAGAGTGAGGCACCTAATCACCAGCACATAAAGTCAACGATCTAACCCACTCAGCCACTGAGGCTTCCACAGAAAGAAAGTCTGACAACGGGTAGTCTAGATCACATACTTTGTGTACCCCTCTGACAAATGTAAATTGGCACGGCTCCCATGGCCGAAAGCTATGAATACACAATGCCATTTAGAAAGTGGTCAAATGTAACAAATGTTATATTTGGGATAAAACTCTCTTTGTAAAGTACTGATTCTAGTACTTTTTGGGTTGAGTCCTATTCGGAGTGATCCATCTAATCGTACTAGAATCTGTACTATACAAAAAGAGTGTAATCCCAAATATAACAGTAGTTACAGAGTACTATTGGGTGGATCATCAGTACCAACTAATAAGTAAGTAATCTTTACCGTATTTGACCGCGGATAAGCCGACCCCGTAGATAAGCCGAGGTGTTAACTTGACCATTGAAATACGGAAGAAAATGATATGACCCGCAGATAAGCCGAACCAGGAAGTGAAAGGCAAAACACACTGATAAGTCGGACTGCAAGACATGTGCCGGTACGCTCAGATATTCAAAAATATAAGATGAAAAACGTTGTAATTATATTGTACATCTACATCTGGTATTGGTACATCTGGTTGTCATAAAAGATTGACTATAAAAATATAGCTGCTCATGCCAGTGACCATCCTTCATACAAAATTCACCTTTAAATGACGTTTATGAAGAATAATGACATCTTGAGCAATATTTTTGAATAAACAAAAGTAACAGATTAAATTCCTAGGTGTCAGTCAAAAGGAACATACCGTCTTCAGTTGATATTTAAACAAGTTCACTATTAATGGTAAAAACTTACTTCTGGCAGGGCTGTGGCGCTGGCATGGTCGGACATTGGTCTCCTAGCAACACAGATGTGCATGTTGCCATGGAAGCGGCTATGGAGTACAGGTTGTATCCACCCTGGAATTAACGTTGTTATACAGTATGTATCAAACTCCATGGAAACGGTTAAATAGCTAGGCGTCATCTGAGAGCAACAGAGTGTATGGTCAGAGAGTTTGGTTTAAAGGGGTGCACTGCCTGGGCACATTGGCAGTCCAAGCTAGCTGGATTCAAGTCACACAAACATCATTATGTCAGCCTGCTTTACAGAGAGTTAATTAATTCTTCAGTGTCTCTAATTAGCAACCTGGATCTATATGGAAACAGGGCACCTGTCCTTGAAGCAGTCTCTCCTTAATGCCTATTAGAACAGTATTTCAGTTATATCCCAGCATGTCAGCATGCAGATCTTAGATGTTTACCATAAAGATGCTGACAAGCTAGGAATGACGGCGACTGGGACTGGAACTAGTGATCATCTCCCCTAGTAATAGTAGTGATTATAAGATCCTGGCAAAGCAAGGGGAAACAACTCTGCAAAATGAGTTGCACCCTCATGACCCCTGGCCTCTAAGACAATGGATGGATTGTGCACACCAGTTGTGTAAATAGTGGAGTATGGTCCAGGCACTCCAGTAATTGTACCAACGTTGGTGGGGCTGAGACCCATGAAGATCCGGGTAGAATACGTCTTCAGCAACCCAAGCTTGCCGTAAAATGTGTCTATGTTTGTTGTAAGAGGCGTCTAACAGGATTGGGAAGTCAGACTCGCTGACTTGGTTGATGCATGTCATCGTATCCTAATTGCGTAGATCGATGTTCATGATGTCAATCACTGGATTGTCTGGTCAAGACTCGATTATTTACAGACCGCCGTCATATGTCTGAAATATTGCTGAGTGCGGCGTTAAACAACAACAAACAAACAAACAGTGGGTTGATGACAGACACTGACACAGGCACCCCATCTTCTTCAGTTGGCTGAGTAGCCTGAGGTACTGGGGAGCTTATCCTCCTGACAGTCTACCACTCACCTCAAGAAGAACCACAACCCTGCCATTGGCCAGCCCACTCAGCATATGTGTCATGTGACCATACCCTGCCGGTGTGATGTCATACCCTCCCTGCAACATAGCAAACCACACAATTACACCAAGTCATGAAATTTAACGCATCCTCCAATATAATGTCTCGCTAGGGGTCAGGCTTATAACAAATATGTCTCACAGAGAAGGACAACATGGCACGAAAAAACAATATTCAAACTTAGCTAGATTCCATATTGACTTGTCAGTTTGACTCCAGCATGTGAGAAACGAGTCGTGTAGACAGACATTAAGAAATATCAATCAGGGTCCATAATGAAAACTGTAACATTGAGCAAGGTCTCGCCGGGGGGATTACAAAGGGAAACCACTCTCAGTTAGAGTATGAACTCAGATTAGCTGCCCCTGAGTTATCAATAAGGTCACTGTCATTACTATAGCCTGCAAACACCTTGACGATTAACAATATTTCTAAAGTGAAATCTTTGATGGGTTCTTCTTTTTTTCGAAATGTCTATTTCAATCACACAGTTTAACAAAATGAAATGCCAATGTTTGAATGTAATGCAGATAATTTGTTTCAAAAATATCTATGGCAAGAATAAACTCACAATGGGTATGGAACTACTTTACATTTACGACATTCTTATGATATGATATGATAGTTTCGAAAAATAGGCTACGATATTTTATGTTTTCCCTACGATAACTTTACAATAATTTTAGGGCGGAGATCATTTTGAAAATCTTTGAAAATCCAGATGCATGTTATTGTGATTTGGTACCCTCAGTGTTACTAATAGGATCACACAATCAACACTGTCATACCTCCAATAAGAATCTCGCAATTCCATTGGCTAATACGTACCAGGTGACAAAACAATACGTTTCAATGAAACATAGGACAGTTTAAAGAGTTCATAAACTTAAAAATGAATTTCAGTATAACAAAACAAATAATTATTCTTGACAAGGTCAATATGCGAAAACAAGGACCCGAGGACCCGATCCCTTTGGGGGTCTGACCCGACCACCTCGGGGGTCTGACCGGACCAACTTGGGGGTCTGACCGGACAACCTCGGGGGTCTGACCGGACCAACTTGGGGGTCTGACCGGACAACCTCGGGGGTCTGACCGGACCACCTCGGGGGTCTGACCGGACCAACTCGGGGATCTGACCGGACCACCTCGGGGGTCTGACCGGACCAACTTGGGGGTCTGACCGGACAACCTCGGGGGTCTGACCGGACCACCTCGGGGGTCTGACCGGACCAACTCGGGGGTCTGACCGGACCAACTCGGGGGTCTGACCGGACCACCTCGGGGGTCTGACCGGACCAACTTGGGGGTCTGACCGGACAACCTCGGGGGTCTGACCGGACCACCTCGGGGGTCTGACCGGACCAACTCGGGGGTCTGACCGGACCACCTCGGGGGTCTGACCGGACCAACTCGGGGGTCTGACCGGACAACCTCGGGGGTCTGACCGGACCACCTCGGGGGTCTGACCGGACCAACTCGGGGGTCTGACCGGACAACCTCGGGGGTCTGACCGGACCAACTCGGGGGTCTGACCGGACAACCTCGGGGGTCTGACCGGACCACCTCGGGGGTCTGACTGGACCAACTCGGGGGTCTGACCGGATAACCTCCGGGGTCTGACCGGACCACCTCGGGGGTCTGACCGGACCAACTTGGGGGTCTGACCGGACAACCTCGGGGGTCTGACCGGACCACCTCGGGGGTCTGACTGGACCAACTCGGGGGTCTGACCGGATAACCTCCGGGGTCTGACCTGACAACCTCCGGGGTCTGAACGGACCACCTCGGGGGGTCTGACGGTACCACCTCAGGGGTCAGGTCCTGGGGTCCTTGTTTTCGTCAAGAGTATCTATATATATAATATGTCAGCATGGAAGGACTTACCAAGGGGTCACCTCTGGCGGCATCAAACCCTGCAGACACCAGGACCAGGTCGGGAGCAAACTGCAAGAGAGTTGTGTAGACCCATAACTAGTTTGCGAAGAGAGACATGGAGTCACTGATCAGTACTTTATTTATTTGGTGTATTCATACTTCAGCACTAATCAAGAGATCACAGGTCTTCAGCAATCACCGGAAACATAGAAACTCTGTATCCACTCATGGGGATCAAACCCCAGTTTCCATGGTGAGCAACCACACTAACCAGTGTGCCACCTCTCAACATCCAGCAATCAAGTTTCTGGGAATTTTTTATGTTTATTCAGGTACTTAGACCTGCTCAGAAGCCAATATCAACCTCAGAAGCCAATATCACCCCCAAGTTGTTTGCAAAAATGGTAAAAATTCCAAAATAGCCATTAAATAGTTTGCAATTCCTGTTAATACAGTTATAAGTAATGTTAAGACTTGTATTTCGCTAACAACAGTGCCAATATAAGAGAAAAGGCTTTAGCCTTTTGTTTTACATTGCTGCATTGAATGCAATATTAAAATATGTCTAAACGTAAGAAAAGATGAACTTTAAAAAAATGACAAAAAAACATTTTTCCTCAATTTACCTGCTAAGTTTGAATACCAGAAACATCCCTGTTATTTGTCTCAGTTGTTAAAGAGTTGCCAGGGTTACCATGTTTCATATCATTTCTTTCATTTTGCAGCAACTTTTACTGTTTAAGTTTCCCCACTACTCTGCTTCTCACCTGTAGGGGGCGGACGGGTAGCCTAGTGGTTAAAGCGTTCGCTCGTCACGCCAAACACCCGGATTCAATTCCCGACATGGGTACAATGTATGAAGCCCATTTCCGTGATATTGCTGGAATATTGCTAAAAGCGGGGTAAAACCAAACTCACTCACTCACTCACCTCGTAGGCCACAGGCATGACGATCTGCTGAAAGGCACTGATGTACTCCGAGTCCCCCATAAAACCCTGGAAGGAAGCACATGGGATTAAAGCACCAATCCAACTTCTGGCAAATTAGAAAACGTGATAATGAATACCGTATTCGACGTAATAAGCACCCAGGGCGCTCTCAAAATTAGAAATAGGGAGCTCTTATAAGAATATTATTTCGGTGAAAAAGTTGAAAGATACATATCATGGTTTATGCTGACAGCCTGAAATGTTTATATACGACAGATATATTTTTCCAGAATTTAATTGCCCATAATTAAGGGTGCATATATGTGAATATATAAGTCTGTTGTACATTGATCAATCGGAAGGGGTCTTAATTGCAATTGTTCACTAGCCAAAATATTAACAAATATTGCTGTGGGCGCTTATTAGAGCTGGGTGCTTATTACCTCGAATATGGTAAGTCTAATTAGTTCTGTATATGTCTAAACAACTCCGGGTCGGACGCAATAATATTTATTGAACTTAACTACAGAAACTACAAACTAGTTTATTAACAGTTGGATGCTGATACAAGGCAATAAAATATCTTGGCAGCATGAAATGTCATGAATGATAAGACCGCCTCCGTGGTCTAATGGTAGAGCGTCCGCCCAGAGAGCAGAAGGTCCGGGGTTCGATACCCGCCCACGTCATACCAAAAGGCGTTAAAAGATAGTACTTGTTGTTACCCTGTCTGGCGCTCAGCATTAAGGGGCTAAAACAAGGACTGGTCGGCTCGGAGTCAGTATACTGTGTCTGAGTGGGGTATTCATGTTAAACTGCGACATGGTATCTCAGTGGGCTAGCACTATAAATCGGCATCAGTCCGGACTAGTACAAGCACTCACACACACACGTGCATGCACATTGTGCAAGTGCAATAATCTTGAACACGACGTTAAACCCCATTTCACCTCACCTCATATGATACATGAGAAACTCCCAACATAAGACATGTACATTGTTTACCAAGGCAACGAAAAAATAAGGCAAGGCAGTTCAAGGCCTAGTCAAACTTTTCAGAGAATAAAATATCAGCTATTGATAATACTTGAATAATACTCATTCAGCTAACATTTGTGTGTTTGTTTGTTTGTTGTTTAACGCCGCACTCAGCAATATTCCAGCTTTAAGACAGCGGTCTGTAAATAATTGAGTCTGGATCAGACAATCCAGTGATTGACATCATGAACATTGATCCACACAATTGGGATCAATGACATGTATCAACCAAGTCAGCGAGCCTGACCACCCGATCCCGTTTGTTGCCTTTTAAGACAAGCATAGTTGCCTTTTACGGCAAGTTTGGGTTGCTGAAGACCTATTCAACCCGGAATCTTCACAGGTCCATTCAACTAACATGGCCTGCATTATATTAGCATGGTGTATAAGGCTCATGAAAAACAAGGCAGACATGGCATGGGACGGGAGGCTGGGTTATGAAACCCAATTTTTTACGCAATGCAGAAAGGCCATATAGCTGCTGAAAAACTCACAAAGTCCCGGCTGCGTACGCATCCTGCCCGAACGGAAGTTTAACTTAAGTTACTACAGTAAACTACGGTTATAACGAACACACTTATAACGAACTGACGGATATAACAAACTTACTTTTTTGGTCCCCACAACTTGCTGTAGTTATGCTGTATATGTGCTTATAGCGAACTACGGTTATAACAAACTAATATTAGTGGTCCCTTTGAGTTCGTTATAACCGTAGTTTACTGTGCATAACATTTACTTATAAACCAACAGAGGGAAAATAATGTAAATAATGTACCTAGTAACCTAGCAACAACACAGTTACATGTACATGTGGACTTTGTATCATCCAGTAGATTCTACCCAAACCTCAGCTGAAGACAAAATATGTATTGCACAAAAGTATGTTTTAAGGAAACATTTTGTTCCAAACTGAATGCCCAATATGTCGTACCCCGCTCCACGACACGTTGATGTTGTAGCCAGTTCCATCACCACTGCCGACCTTTGTGTAGTTGCCGTCATCGCTTGCAGGGTAAAACCCACCGTTGTCATAGCGATGTAAGGATATGAACAGGACGCTGCAGAACAAGAAATATTGTGAATACTATCTTCAGTCTGAATGTGGTGAAAACTGGAACATGAAATGTGGAAATAAAGACACAGATCACACACATTTGTCTCCGAATTCCCAATTAGTGGGTTGTATACTCCCCAGGGAGCTGAGAATGAAAATCGAGTGCTCACTGATCCATTGACCGGGGTAATAATAGTGTAGCGCTATGAGCATCCACTTGGTGAATGGAATCTGGGGCATTATAAATGCACTTATTATTATTATTAGTGACATAAGTAAAATCTTATTGTGAGAATATACCTGTTGTTAAATAGGGGGGTGATATATATCGTAGTTACCTGGGATCGTCCTGAAATTGATGCTGCGTGCCGTTCCCGTGATGAACGTCCCAGTCAAGGATGAGGATTCTGAAATATGGCACATCAGACATGAACATATTGTCATAAAATGTCTGCCAGGAATCTAAAGTTAATCTCTTTGTGATGGCCCTTTGACATTATAGACAAGATAATAGAGAGTTACACGTGTTTCGTACAAACTGACCGTGGATATTTTTGGTTCATTGAGGTATGAATCGAAAAAAAATTATGTGCAAACTGTATGAATTCTTACAAAAAATTCACATCATATTTTTTAATCAAAGTAAGATCAAAACAAAGTTCATAGGACTTGTCAATCAAGGCAAGAGGCGAGAAGAACTGCAACAGTCAGACTGTAACGAACCGGAACAAATATGTCCGGGAGAAGGCGGCTGTTTCAAATGACATGGTCAGTTGCCGCCAGATTCGAATATTAATTCACTGAGAACGGGAAGACACAGTTTGCAAAATGTGTGTTAGAAATGAAACCCAAAACATGATATTTGTGGAACCCAAGCGAGTGGTAATAAACCTAGGCATGTTTGCTGTTTTATTCCTTCTCGTCCTTCGGTCTCAATACACGTGAGCAGAAAGGTTGTATTGGGATTTCCTGACATTCCGCAGTTATAAAAGTAGCCCGCATTGGTTGGTGTGGCTTCATTTTTTACATTCATTGGGAATTGTACTCAATAACACGTGACCCATTCAGCTAATCAGAATGCAGGAATAACAACGAAAATTGAATTATTCCACTATATCCTCATTCTTACCTCTTGACACCGAACTTGTTCTGGGCGTACTTGACGGCCACAGCCACATTGTTGAAGAAACAGAAACCCATGGCTTTGTCACACTCCGCATGGTGGCCCGGCGGTCTGTGTCAACAAACAAACCTAGTAGGGCTGGGACGGGTAACTCGTGTACTCGGGTCGGTGGTTCCTGAGTAGGACCCGGATACCCACAGGACTACCCGGACCCGTGGTTAGTCACGTGATATATTGTTTAATGGTAAAAATTATCAAGAACTTCCACGATTTCACTATAAGTGACTAATGTTCGCATTTCTTTCTGACTATGAACGCATTACTTCTGACTTTATATCTTTGAAAAGAGATAAAACTTCAGTCAACTTCAGTGTATGCATGACCAGATCTTTTTATATGAGTATCTAAATACATTTTGCCAGGGCTACGGTCAAACTATTCCCAATCTCTTGAGACCAACAGCGGGTACCCGGGTAGGGTAGGGTAATAGTGAAGTGGGTACCCGGGTAGTAAATTTGGACTCTTCCCAGCCCTAAAACCTAGAGGGACTCTTCACTCGTACATAATATCCCTTCGTTTCTTGTCCATATCTTTAACTAGGCAACAGCATCTTGGTTGCTCTTTTGCTAAGAGGTGAATCCTTTATGCTTTTCTCCTCCCCAGCACGTCAGCAGTAGAAGTGGATGTCTGACACCCCGATCAGTTGCTCCTTACGACAAGGGTGCAGGAATTTTAAGAAACCGATAAACCAAACAAATTATCTCTAAAAAAGCCATGAAATATTCACTCACTACCTCTGTGTTTAGTAATATATGTGACCCTTGAAGATCCAGGGTAGAATAGGTCTTCAGCGACCCATGCTTGCCGTAAAAGGTGACTATGTAAGAGGCGACTAACAGGAACGGGTGGTCAGGCTCGCTGACTTGGTTGATGCATTAATCACTGGATTGTCTGATCTAGACTCGAGTATTTACAGACCGCTGTCATATAACTGGAGTATTGCTGAGTGCGTCGTTAAACAACAAACCCACGAACAAAGTAATACATGTTTTGACCGTAATATCATCCTGCACAGTTTGACATTGAGACATGTTGGATGAAAACCTGCGGCTACAGCTCACCTTACAATAGCAACACCATTCTGTGCCTGAAACAGAAGGAAAGCTTGCATCACATACCACACACTTCACTAGGAATGATAAACAGATCAGTTAGATTTTATCTATGGTAGGTTTCAGGTGTTCTTTCCTGCCTATCACGTGTATTGTGCGATCGTTCGGCCATTGCGTTGTCCAGCTACATCTATGGGGAACAACTCATAAGACACTTCCCTCTAAAAAAAACATCGTCCTGTTTACAACGCCATCAAGTTGCGAGCGCATGTTCGAATTTCCAGAAATGAGTGAGTGAGTATGGTTTTACGCCGCTTTTAGCAATATTCCGGCAATATCACGGCGGGGGACACCAGAAATGGGCTTCACACATTGTACCCATGTCGAGAATCGAACCCGGGTCTTCGGCGTGGCGTGCGAACGCTTTAACCACTAGGCTACCCGACTGCCAAACCAGAAATGACATCATGATAGAACAATGTTTTATTGTGTAATAAACCACGCTTTGTTCTTCTTTGTTCTTTGCGATTTATCGCGTAGCTGTCTTAAATATATATATAGAGAGAGTGTATGTCAAACACAGAGACTTACCTTGCCAGACAGCACTGTGTCCACCACACTGAGGACACTTCCACAAGACAGCAGAGCACACCGGTATGTATCCTGAAACAGTGGACAAAACTCTCTCACTGATGGACATATGTGCTCCGTCACTAACACAGCCTGTCTTTGTTGCCGACCACAACACACACATTGAACCAGTTCTCATACATATCCCACGAACAATTACATTCCTTCTTTAGAAGTTGGAGTACTAAGTAAGGATAAGAATTTATGGACGAATAACTTCTTTATTACAATTAAGAGCGACGTTTTGGTGTTGGCTTGATAATGGTATTAGAACCTACACCGAAATGTCACTCTTAATTTTTGTTATCTTATCCTTACTTAATTACATCCTCTTGTTGGAAAACATTTGTCACATTTATCAAAAAAATAGGAATATTACCTTTACCTGATTTATGATAGGTCAGGTGATGCGTGTGTTAATGCCATGTTCAGGATGCTGGTTTTGAAGTGCTCTCCCACTAAGAAACCCATTTTATACTGCCGTTTTAACATGGATATCCCATTCAGAAACATTAAACATACTCCAAGCCAGTCAGTTCTTATTTCATCCCCTAAGTGCCATGCAGTGTTTAACATCTCTTGATATGACTTGGCCCTTGGGGGTTTGAATCACTGACCTTCTACTCTCCAGACAGACCCTATGACCTATCTAGGCAATGTGTCTTGGTGTGACAAACAAAGATTGCCTTAACCTTACAGACAGTGTCTTCATGTAACAAGGACAAAGATTGTCTGTAACACAAAGATTTCCTTACCTTGCAGACAAAGAGTCTTCATGTAACACAGACAAAGATTGCCTTAACCTTGCAGACAGTGTCTTCATGTAACACAGACAAAGATTGCCTTAACCTTGCAGACAGTGTCTTCATGTAACACAGACAAAGATTGCCTTAGCCTTACAGACAGTGTCTTCATGTAACACAGACAAAGATTGCCTTAGCCTTACAGACAGTGTCTTCATGTAACACAGACAAAGATTGTCTTAACCTTACAGACAGTGTCTTCATGTAACACAGACAAAGATTGCCTTAGCCTTACAGACAGTCTCTTCATGTAACACAGACAAAGATTGTCTTAACCTTACAGACAGTGTCTTCATGTAACACAGACAAAGATTGCCTTAGCCTTACAGACAGTGTCTTCATGTAACACAGACAAAGATTGCCTTAGCCTTACAGACAGTGTCTTCATGTAACACAGACAAAGATTGTCTTAACCTTACAGACAGTGTCTTCATGTAACACAGACAAAGATTGCCTTAGCCTTACAGACAGTGTCTTCATGTAACACAGACAAAGATTGCCTTAGCCTTACAGACAGTGTCTTCATGTAACACAGACAAAGATTGTCTTAACCTTACAGACAGTGTCTTCATGTAACACAGACAAAGATTGCCTTAACCTTACAGACAGTGTCTTCATGTAACACAGACAAAGATTGCCTTAGCCTTACAGACAGTGTCTTCATGTAACACAGACAAAGATTGCCTTAGCCTTACAGACAGTGTCTTCATGTAACACAGACAGAGATTGTCTTAGCCTTACAGACAGTGTCTTCATGTAACACAAAGATTGCCTTAACCTTACAGACAGTGTCTTCATGTAACGCAGACAAAGATTGCCTTAGCCTTACAGACAGTGTCTTCATGTAACACAGACAAAGATTGCCTTAGCCTTACAGACAGTGTCTTCATGTAACACAGACAGAGATTGTCTTAGCCTTACAGACAGTGTCTTCATGTAACACAAAGATTGCCTTAACCTTACAGACAGTGTCTTCATGTAACACAGACAAAGATTGCCTTAGCCTTACAGACAGTGTCTTCATGTAACACAGACAAAGATTGCCTTAGCCTTACAGACAGTGTCTTCATGTAACACAGACAAAGATTGCCTTAGCCTTACAGACAGTGTCTTCATGTAACACAGACAAAGATTGCCTTAACCTTACAGACAGTGTCTTCATGTAACACAGACAAAGATTGCCTTAGCCTTACAGACAGTGTCTTCATGTAACGCAGACAAAGATTGCCTTAGCCTTACAGACAGTGTCTTCATGTAACACAGACAAAGATTGCCTTAGCCTTACAGACAGTGTCTTCATGTAACACAGACAAAGATTGCCTTAACCTTGCAGACAGTGTCTTCATGTAACACAGACAGAGATTGTCTTAACCTTAAAGACAGTGTCTTCATGTAACACAGACAAAGATTGTCCTTACCTTGCAGACAGTGTCTTCATGTAACACAGACAAAGATTGTCCTTACCTTGCAGACAAAGTGTCTTCATGTAACCATACAAAGATTGTCCTTACCTTGCAGACAAAGATGGAGTTCATCCTCCACTCCATGACATTGTCCAGTTCCTGCTGGGTCTTGTCCGTCGTGTCCTTTATCTTGGAGATGTACGCCTCACTGAAGAGAGAACATTAATAGTATGTGTGTTGCAATAACCTACTTCCACTTCCATGTTGCCAGGCAACAGCATCACAGAAACATACATGGAAGGGGGTATAACTTTCTCACCTTGGTATACTCAGCCATTCTTCACATCCAAACCTAGCTGACAACCCACATCCACCTTTTGATTCTTGTCTGAGAATTTGTTAAAATAATTCAGTGTAATTCAGTGTGCAAGCACCTGTGTACTCTTTGATCTCTTTCACATCTTTCACCTTTGTACTCTGACAAAAAACATCTCACTTTTGGACTCCAACACATGACATCTCCCCTGTGTCCTTCATCTCATGACATCTCTCCCTGTGTCCTCCGACACATGACATCTCCCCTGTGTCCTTCATCTCATGACATCTCTCCCTGTGTCCTCCGACACATGACATCTCCCCTGTGTCCTTCATCTCATGACATCTCTCCCTGTGTCCTCCGACACATGACATCTCACCTGTGTACTCCGACACATGACATCTCACCTGTGTACCCCGACACATGACATCTCTCCCTGTGTCCTCCGACACATGACATCTCTCACCTGTGTACTCTGACACATGACATCTCACCTGTGTACCCCGACACATGACATCTCTCCCTGTGTCCTTCATCTCATGACATCTCATCTGTGTACCCCGACACATGACATCTCTCCCTGTGTCCTCCGACATATGACATCTCTCACCTGTGTACTCCGACACATGACATCTCTCCCTGTGTCCTCCGACACATGACATCTCTCACCTGTGTACACCGACACATGACATCTCTCACCTGTGTACTCTGACACATGACATCTCTCACCTGTGTACTCCGTCACTCACCTGTGTACCGTTGCCAACTCCTCTTCTGTCGCCAGACGGGACTGTAAGCAAAGGAATAGCTTGGTTTTATTGGGAGAAATTACTTCTGATGTCAATATACGATTGAATGATGACAATGTGCTTTGAAATACGCCCAAACAGGCTTTTGGTATTCAACACAATGGAACAGGTACAATAAGGCCTTAGGTGTTTTGTGAACCTTGAATAAAGTGATTGAAACAGAAACACAATAACCTTGATAGGTGAGCTACAGAACCACAATAACCTTGATAGGTGAGCTACAGAACCACAATAACCTTGATAGATGAGCTACAGAACCACAATAACCTTGATAGGTGAGCTACAGAACCACAATAACCTTGATAGGTGAGCTACAGAACCACAATAACCTTGATAGGTGAGCTGCAGAACCACAATCATCTTGATAGGTGAGCTACAGCACCACAATAACCTTGATAGGTGAGCTACAGAACCACAATAACCTTGATAGGTGAGCTACAGCACCACAATAACCTTGATAGGTGAGCTACAGCACCACAATAACCTTGATAGGTGAGCTACAGCACCACAATAACCTTGATAGGTGAGCTACAGCACCACAATAACCTTGATAGGTGAGCTACAGACCCACAATAACCTTGATAGGTGAGCTACAGAACCACAATAACCTTGATAGGTGAGCTACAGACCCACAATAACCTTGATAGGTGAGCTACAGAACCACAATAACCTTGATAGGTGAGCTACAGCACCACAATAACCTTGATAGGTGAGCTACAGCACCACAATAACCTTGATAGGTGAGCTACAGACCCACAATAACCTTGATAGGTGAGCTACAGACCCACAATAACCTTGATAGATGAGCTACAGAACCACAATAACCTTGATAGGTGAGCTACAGCACCACAATAACCTTGATAGGTGAGCTACAGCACCACAATAACCTTGATAGGTGAGCTACAGACCCACAATAACCTTGATAGGTGAGCTACAGCACCACAATAACCTTGATAGGTGAGCTACAGAACCACAATAACCTTGATAGGTGAGCTACAGCACCACAATAACCTTGATAGGTGAGCTACAGAAACACAATAACCTTGATAGATGAGCTGCAGAACCACAATAACCTTGATAGGTGAGCTACAGCACCACAATAACCTTGATAGGTGAGCTACAGAACCACAATAACCTTGATAGGTGAGCTACAGCACCACAATAACCTTGATAGGTGAGCTACAGCACCACAATAACCTTGATAGGTGAGCTACAGAGCCACAATAACCTTGATAGGTGAGCTACAGAACCACAATAACCTTGATAGGTGAGCTACAGAACCACAATAACCTTGATAGGTGAGCTACAGAACCACAATAACCTTGATAGGTGAGCTACAGCACCACAATAACCTTGATAGGTGAGCTACAGCACCACAATAACCTTGATAGGTGAGCTACAGAGCCACAATAACCTTGATAGGTGAGCTACAGAACCACAATAACCTTGATAGGTGAGCTACAGAACCACAATAACCTTGATAGGTGAGCTACAGCACCACAATAACCTTGATAGGTGAGCTACAGCACCACAATAACCTTGATAGGTGAGCTACAGAACCACAATAACCTTGATAGATGAGCTACAGAGCCACAATAACCTTGATAGATGAGCTACAGAACCACAATAACCTTGATGGGGAGCTACAGAGCCACAATAACCTTGATAGATGAGCTACAGAGCCACAATTACCTTGATAGGTGAGCTACAGAACCACAATAACCTTGATAGGTGAGCTACAGAACCACAATAACCTTGATAGGTGAGCTACAGAACCACAATAACCTTGATAGGTGAGCTACAGAACCACAATAACCTTGATAGGTGAGCTACAGCACCACAATAACCTTGATAGGTGAGCTACAGAACCACAATAACCTTGATAGGTGAGCTACAGAACCACAATAACCTTGCTAGGTGAGCTACAGAACCACAATAACCTTGATAGGTGAGCTACAGAACCACAATAACCTTGATAGGTGAGCTACAGAACCACAATAACCTTGATAGGTGAGCTACAGAACCACAATAACCTTGATAGATGAGCTACAGAGCCACAATAACCTTGATAGATGGGCTACAGAACCACAATAACCTTGATAGATGAGCTACAGAGCCACAATAACCTTGATAGATGAGCTACAGAGCCACAATAACCTTGATAGGTGAGCTACAGAACCACAATAACCTTGATAGGTGAGCTACAGAGCCACAATAACCTTGATAGGTGAGCTACAGAACCACAATAACCTTGATAGGTGAGCTACAGAACCACAATAACCTTGATAGGTGAGCTACAGAACCACAATAACCTTGATAGGTGAGCTACAGAACCACAATAACCTTGATAGATGAGCTACAGAGCCACAATAACCTTGATAGGTGAGCTACAGAACCACAATAACCTTGATAGGTGAGCTACAGAACCACAATAACCTTGATAGGTGTGCTACAGAACCACAATCATCTTGATAGGTGAGCTACAGAACCACAATAACCTTGATAGGTGAGCTACAGCACCACAATAACCTTGATAAGTGAGCTACAGAACCACAATAACCTTGATAGGTGAGCTACAGAACCACAATAACCTTGATAGGTGAGCCACAGAACCACAATAACCTTGATAGATGAGCTGCAGAACCACAATAACCTTGATAGGTGAGCTACAGAACCACAATAACCTTGCTAGGTGAGCTACAGAACCACAATAACCTTGATAGGTGAGCTACAGAACCACAATAACCTTGATAGATGAGCTGCAGAACCACAATAACCTTGATAGGTGAGCTACAGAACCACAATAACCTTGATAGGTGAGCTACAGAACCACAATAACCTTGCTAGGTGAGCTACAGAACCACAATAACCTTGCTAGGTGAGCTACAGCACCACAATAACCTTGATAGGTGAGCTACAGAACCACAATAACCTTGATAGGTGAGCTACAGCACCACAATAACCTTGATAGGTGAGCTACAGCACCACAATAACCTTGATAAGTGAGCTACAGAGCCACAATAACCTTGATAGGTGAGCTACAGAACCACAATAACCTTGATAGGTGAGCTACAGAGCCACAATAACCTTGATAGGTGAGCTACAGCACCACAATAACCTTGATAGGTGAGCTACAGCACCACAATAACCTTGATAGATGAGCTACAGAACCACAATAACCTTGATAGGTGAGCTACAGCACCACAATAACCTTGATAGGTGAGCTACAGAACCACAATAACCTTGATAGGTGAGCTACAGAGCCACAATAACCTTGATAGGTGAGCTACAGCACCACAATAACCTTGATAGGTGAGCTACAGAACCACAATAACCTTGATAGGTGAGCTACAGAACCACAATAACCTTGATAGATGAGCTACAGAGCCACAATAACCTTGATAGGTGAGCTACAGAACCACAATCATCTTGATAGGTGAGCTACAGAACCACAATAACCTTGATAGATGAGCTACAGAGCCACAATAACCTTGATAGGTGAGCTACAGAACCACAATAACCTTGATAGGTGAGCTACAGAACCACAATAACCTTGATAGGTGAGCTACAGAACCACAATAACCTTGATAGGTGAGCTACAGAACCACAATAACCTTGTTAGGTGAGCTACAGACCCACAATAACCTTGATAGGTGAGCTACAGCACCACAATAACCTTGATAGGTGAGCTACAGCACGTGACATGTCAGTGTGATTTTCCGAATCCATAATTTACATAATCACAAAGGCTGTACCAACAACTGTCAGTGTTCCCGTTTACCGGTAATTACCAGTTTTTTACCGTAAAATTTGGCTTGGATTGGTAATTCATGTGACTGCCAGTCCCTGTGGACCAGCAATTAAAGTACCTTATAAATCTTTGTTATCGAACAAAACATCAACAATATTCATATATGTATATTTTTCGAATGAAGTCAGAATGTCTGTTACCATCAGGGTTCGCCCTTGTCTAATTTTAGTGCAAGGAAATAACATTCACTTTGCTTTGAGGTTAAATATCCATTTGTAGCGAAATATTTAAAAAAGAAGGAGAGAATCTTGCGACAGACGTTTGTGTGAATGAGGTGTAGATCTAATTAAGTTACTGCAGAGATGACATCACTGCACTAAACATGATGTTGAATGAATTAAAACCAGGAAATTTTCACACGATTTTTTATTTGTTGAAAGTAGGGACTGACAAAAATTTAGTGGTGACTGGTAAGGCTGGGACGGGTAACTCGGGTACTCGGGTCGGGTGGGTCCTGAGTAGGACCCGGGTATCAACAGGACTACCCGTACCCGTGGTTAGTCACGTGATATTTTGTTTAACGACAAAAATTATCTTAAACTCTATGGTTACTATAAGTCACTAATGTTCCCATTTCTTTCTGACAATGCACCCATTCCTTCTGTCTTTTATATACTGAACAACAAAAGTTCCTGTGACATTGAATAAGATTTAATGCAAAGTTATGTTTTTTACCAAATCTGAAACAATTTCAGTTTACAACAGATAAAAGACTCCTGTAAGTGTTCAAATGGTTTAATTTCCATACTGACTTCAGAAAATGCGTGATTTCACAAAAAACAAAAAAACACATGAACATGCCAAAATGCCAATTTACAAATCAATAGCATGTGTGTCCACCTCTGGTTGCGATGCAAGCAACACATCTTCATCTCATGGAATAGACCAGGCGTCGCACAGGGTCCTGTGGGATATCTGTCCATATCTGCTGGAGCATGTTTCGAAGTTCCTGGAGTGTGTGGAACACGTGGTTGACGTCGAAGGCGTTGATCCATCTCATCCCACATGTGCTCGATTGGTGAGAGATCAGGGGAGCGAGCCGGGCAGGGGATCACATTCACGTTGTTTCGTTGAAGAGAGTCCTGAACAAGTCGAGCAATATTTGGCCGGGCGTTGTCATGTTGAAAGGTAATGCCTGGGCCATGATGACGCAAAAACGGTAGAACAACAGGGCCGATGATCTCGTGCGGTAGCGCTGTCCATTGAGATTTCCCTCTACCACTATCAAACGGATCCTCTGTCTTCCTGTAATCCCACCCCATACCATAACGCTGCCGCCTCTGAACCGATCTTCTTCCATGACACAATGATTGATGTAACGTCCACCTCGACGTCGGTACACTGGAATCCATCCATTGCTGTGGCTGAGGTGCAAAACAAGACCCGTCAGTGAATATAACTTGTCTCCACTGCATGGCCGTCCAGCGTAGACGCTGTCTGCACCACTGTAGACGTGCTTGATGGTGGTTTCCTGTCAAATTGGGTCTTCTGGCGACAATCCCTGCAAATCTGAGGCGACAACGTACAGTTTGTGAAGATATTCGTCAAAGGCCACTGTTGCTGGCTGGAATCGATTTTTGTAGGTGTGTTGTTCGAATCCAGTTGTCTTGTCGATTATTGGATACGCGTGGCCTGCCCCCCTGAGGATGGTCTCTGACTGCATTCGTCTGTTGCCAACGTTGCCATAAACACCAAATGGTGTTTCTGTAGACATTAAATTGTCTTGCAAAATCATATTGACTCGATCCTGCTTCAAGCAAACCAATGGCTCGCAGACGCTCATTTTCAGACAGGCGTGGCTTTCGTAATGTTGAATAATTGCGTAATTTTGTTGTTTTTCTGAGTGGTTGTTGTCAGCACGATGCTAAACAATGCATATGGAATCCCGTTAATGCACATATTTTTATACCCATTCTTAGGTAGTGAAATGCTTTGGGCATGCATAGAGGTAAACTTTTGCATGGAATGCATGCTTTTCTGTAGCAGTTGCGTTTTTGTGACTTGATTCCATACATGTACTACAATATTGAAAACCAAACTTTACTTGTTTGAAAAATACACTAAAATATTGGTGTCACAGGAACTTTTGTTGTTGAGTATATGTTTGAATAAAAATATAACTTCATGCAGTAAACGTCAGTGTGTGCATGACCAGATTGTTTTACACGTGTATCTAAATACATTTTGCCAGGGCTAAGGTCAACATTTTCCAAATCGGACAGTTTGTACCTATCTCTAAATATCTACAACTGGTACCCCGGTAGGGTCGGGTAATAGGGTGGTGGGCACCCGGGTAGTAAATTTGGACTTGTCCCAGCCCCAGTGACTGGTAATTTTTAGAGTTGCCAGTCCACCAGGACTGACAGTTTCCAAAGCCAGCGGGAACACTGAACTTTGTTACAAACTGTGGTGTCCTGTTGGTTTGTTTGCTTGTTTGTTGTTTGTTTGTTGTTTAACGCCGCACTCAGCAATATTCCAGCTATATGACGGCGGTCTGTAAATAATCGAGTCTGGACAAGACAGTCCAGTGATTAATATCATGAGCATTGATCCACGCAATTGGGATCGATGACATGGATCAACCAAGTCAGCGAGTCTGACCACCCGATCCCGTTTCTCTCCTTTTACGACAAGCATAGTCGCCTTTTACGGCAAGTATGGGTTGCTGAAGACCTATTCTACCCTGGACTCTTCACGAGTCAAGTCTGTAAATAATTGGGTCTGGACCAGACCATCCAGTGACTGGCATCATGAGCATCGATCCATGCATTTGTGATACGATGACATGCATCAACCAAATCAGCGAGCCTGACCAAATGGGTCCGGGATGCTAGGCTCTGTGACCTAGTTGTTTACACGTCATTATATCCCAGTTGTCAGAATCGATGCTCATGGTGTCAATCACTGGATATCCTGGTACAGATTTGATTATTATACAGCTGGATTATTGCTGGGGACCTCTCCGCTGGACCACACAGCGCCTACCTGGACCTGCAGACACCGGCCATATAGGCCCCACTCTATATGCTGGTTGTAGATCCGAGAAATTCTGTCAGGCCGCTCCGGATGACCTCTACAAAAGTAATAAAAAAGAGTCCTTTAATAAGGGGTCTCACACTCAGTCGAAATATTGATATATTGCTATTGGTAAGCACTTAGAGTCAATAAATCGATTGTTGAATCAGTTTCTGATCAATGGTATTGAATTCAGTTAAGAATATTGATAGTTTTGATTGTATTTACCATAGTTTTACAGTTTCAATAAAATACATGCACTGCTGTTCAAATTTGTTTTTCTTTTGATCATGAGTGGTTGTAAATTTACACATGGTAATGACAGGGTATGAAACTCCCAACATTTTCAGCCAGACCACAGGACTGGCTAGCTGAAATACTTGCCAGCCCTGACCAAAACCTGCCTGCCCACTATAAGCATATGTTTCTCAGGATAATTTAATTAAAACTTTAAATCGAATTCATTGAACATGAAGTAATGCAAGAAAAGAAATAGCAAACACTTTTTAGGTCAGATTTGTATTTAATATCCTAGAATACATCATGTAAATAATGCTTATCATCGGGAAATATTTAGAATATTTTTACATATGAAATATAACCCGACCGTCGGGCAGGGGGATTTGAAAATCTGGCAGCCCGAGTTGAAATCAACCGTCTCGGACGGTCGGGCAGGCAGGTATTTCGAACACTGGTAATGAGAAAGTTTCTTTTTCTTACATTATTAGGGTAAAGAAAAAACAAATCAGTCATATCTCAAACTTTACTTTTTATTTGTTGTTATGGTTATCACATTCAAAGGAAACTTCAGTTCCAAGATTTAATTCAACTCTAAAATCCATCTAAAATGATACACTGAAAACTATCAAAATTTATCGCAATAGTTGCTTACGATATCAATAGTTATCACAATAGTGATTTCCAGACCAATAGTCACCCCTACTTTTAATATTATGACTTTAAACTCTCACATTCTTATACAGTCACACACATAACACCGACAACAACAAAAACAAGGCAAAACGTGAGAAGGACTCACTAATATCCGTGACTTTCATTCCAACACATTTCTAATTTCAAAACATGCAAAAAGGAATATTTTCTTGGAAAATCTACTTATCAAAAGGAAACTTTGCACTGCGCCTCTCCTATCGGTATAGAAACTGTACCCCAACATTGATAAGGATCCATGAAGAAGTTGTCACGTTATAGGTCGCACAAATGTTGAATAAGAAAATTAAAATTAAAACAATAAATAATTAATGTACTATTTCTGAAAATCCAAATATTGAAATCAAACTTCGCACTGCACCTCTCCTATTAGTATAGAAAGTGTTCACCAAGTTTGAACAGAATCCATGCAGTAGTTTCCACAAACAAATGACAGACAGATGGACGCAGTTTCTTGGCATAACTATATACCCCTGCCCCGGACAGGATCACATACACAAGATACTGGGTGACCTACCCCCAACTGCCCCGGACAGGATCACATAGAAAAGATAACGGGTGACCTACCCCTGACTGCCCCGTACAGGATCACATACACAAGATACTGGGGGACCTACCCCCGACTGCCCCGGACAGGATCACATAGAAAAGATAACGGGTGACCTACCCCTGACTGCCCCGTACAGGATCACATACACAAGATACTGGGGGACCAACCCCCGACTGCCCCGTACAGGATCACATACACAAGATACCGGGGGACCTACCCCCGACTGCCTCGTACAGGATCACATACACAAGATACTGGGGGACCTACCCCCAACTGCCCCGTACAGGATCACATACACAAGATACCAGGGGACCTACCCCTGACTACCCCGTACAGGATCACATACACAACAAACCGGGGGACCTACCCCCGACTGCCCCGGACAGGATCAAATACACAAGATACCAGGGGACCTACCCCTGACTGCCCCGTACAGGATCACATACACAAGGTACTGGGGGACCTACCCCCGACTGCCCCGTACAGGATCACATACACAAGATACCGGGGGACCTACCCCCGACTGCCCCGTACAGGATCACATACACAAGGTACTGGGGGACCTACCCCCGACTGCCCCGTACAGGATCACATACACAAGATACTGGAGGACCTACCCCCAACTGCCCCGGACAGGATCACATACACAAGATACTGGGTGACCTACCCCCGACTGCCCCGTACAGGATCACATACACAAGATACTGGAGGACCTACCCCCAACTGCCCCGGACAGGATCACATACACAAGATACTGGAGGACCTACCCCCAACTGCCCCGGACAGGATCACATACACAAGATACTGGGGGACCTACACCCGACTGCCCCGTACAGGATCACATACACAAGATACCAGGGGACCTACCCCCGACTGCCCCGTACAGGATCACATACACAAGATACTGGAGGACCTACCCCCAACTGCCCCGTACAGGATCACATACACAAGATACTGGGTGACCTACCCCCGACTGCCCCGGACAGGATCACATACACAAGATGCATCAGGTTCGTCCTGATACTGGGTACATATACTTACTTGAAACTCATATTTTTGTGAGCTCTCATATCAGCGTCGAACACCATGCAGGTTCTGTCAACAAACACACAAGAACAATTAGGGCAGTCTGTGACCAAACATTGTGAGTCTACTCACCTGACTTCAACATTTTCAATAACGTTAGTAATAACATCCTCATCAGTATCACCCTATTAAAGATATCCTTCCAGCAGAACTATGCCTAATTTTAACGTAACATTGATGGTCCCCATGTGTGCATAAATTGATGGTCCCCCTGTGTGTATAATCGATGGTCCCCTGTGTGTATAATCGATGGTCCCCTGTGTGTATAATCGATGGTCCCCTGTGTGTATAATCGATGGTCCCCCTGTGTGTATAATCGATGGTCCCCTGTGTGTATAATCGATGGTCCCCTGTGTGTATAATCGATGGTCCCCTGTGTGTATAATCAATGGGCCCCCTGTGTGTATAATCAATGGTCCCCTGTGTGTATAATCAATGGTCCCCTGTGTGTATAATCGATGGTCCCCTGTGTGTATAATCGATGGTCCCCTGTGTGTATAATCAATGGTCCCCCTGTGTGTATAATCGATGGTCCCCTGTGTGTATAATCGATGGTCCCCATGTGTGCATAATTGATGGTACCCATGTGTGTATAATCAATGGTCCCCATGTGTATAATCAATGGTCCCCATGTGTGTATAATCAATGGTCCCCATGTGTATAATCAATGGTCCACATGTGTATAATCAATGGTCCCCGTGTGTATAATCAATGGTCCCCATGTGTGTGTATTCAATGGTCCCCACGTATGTATAATCAATGGTCCCCATGTGTATAATCAATGGTACCCATGTGTGTATAATCAATGGTCCCCATGTGTGTATAATCAATGGTCCCCATGTGTGTATAATCGATGGTCCCCATGTGTGTATAATCGATGGTCCCCATGTGTGTATAATCAATGGTCCCCATGCGTATATAATCAATGGTCCCCATCCATAAATCAGCAAACATTACCAACCTGTGTGGTGCAAACGTCAGGGATGTTTCTGCTATTAATGCATCTATCCTCTTATCTAGAGCAGCTGTGTCCTCGTCAGCTGAAAGTGAGGGACCAGTTATAGCAAACAATCAACCAATGTCTGACCAATCAGTATCACAACCCTACACATAAACACTCGCCTGTCATAATGCCAGATTCACAGTACCCAACATACAGCATACCAAACACAGCACTCATGGATCATGCCGCTGTACGGGCACAATCATAGAGACAGTATTAGATCAATCTCATTAACATCAGACCTTAGTTCTCGCTACCGCTAAACAAAGATCTGAGGACATCCCATTAGGGGTCACGTCAGAACTACCTTTCATCCGACCAATGAGAGCGTCACTTACCAGATCATGAAAGTGACAGTCGGAATGTGATTTCTAATCATCCAACCTCGAAAACTTTAACATGGGGTATTCTGAACGATAGTTACAGGTTAACGACTGAATCCATACAATCTAGACCATCTATTAGCCTCGCCAGAATGTTCTTTTGTTCAGGTTTCAAATTTGTAATCGAGAATTTGTCAAAATATGTTGCGAAGCGTAGTCGCCAATTTGAAATTAGTGCCGTTAAGCACGAGAAAGCTGCCTTCTGATTGGTCATTCTATTGGTCGGTCAAAGTTCGCGCAAGGTCAGTCTGACGTGACCCGTAATGGGATGTCCTCATGATCTTTGTTTAGCGGTAGCGAGAACTAAGGTCTGATTTTAATGAGAATGGTATTAGATCAGCTGTCATGTCAAACTTTTTCAGTCTATTGTAATAACTGAAGGTCACTATGTGTATCTTGAAGCAACTGTCTGTGAGCTGTGAATGTCAAATAATGCCTGTCGGCTGCCCTCAATCCATCTTCCCGAGGTAAGAGAGTTAACTGACTATGAAAGTTCCAGTTCCCACCCTTGCCGAACTAGGCTGGAATTCCTTGGCTAGATCGTAGCACCACCAGTGGCTATTACGAGTTATGTCCCTTCTATGCCTCTCCTATGGACTAATCAGATTCCACCTCTCGTGCATTTGCATTTGCTTCAAACAAAATGGCAGCACCCAATCAAGACGATCTGATCGATAATCTAGACCTATGTTGTGATAAAACAAGTCTTACATCGCGAAGTGAATCAAATCAAGTGAGCACCTTGATTAAAAACATGAAAAAAATTGGAAAATACGAGTTGGCAGTGCACATGCTTTGCAAATCCTGCAATCGACCAAAACCTGCATGACAGTTTACGAACCGGATTTCGATTTCCTTGCACGATTTTGATTGGACTATGCATAGACTCATTAGTCCAGCCAAAATGTAACTCAGTTATACCAGCCCAGTTCGGTAAGGGTGGAAACTGGACTTTTATAGTCAGTTAATTCCCTTGCCTCAAGAAGATGCCCTCAATCCTGGGTTTATTACATCACTTATAGTTATTGGTACGTCTTAGACATTGTTCAGAGTTCAAATAGTCGTGTCTCATACACAAGTTATTGCATCATACAATTCTGAAATACTGAAGACAACATGTCAGAAGGAACTATATATCAATATCAATGTATTGCACAGCCACATGAAGAAAGAGGTTGAATGTGAAGCAATTAATGTCCTTACAAAGTACAGGATAGGCGTCGTCGTTCTTGTAAGTGTGTGGCCGATTCTCCTCAGTTATAAACTCCACACCTGGTCTGTAGACAGAAACAAACTTATTTTCTGATCAAACATATAATTCTGAAATTCTGTAGTTTCAAGTTTGAAGATTTATCATATTAAATTTATTATATATCATGTTAGAGACGTTCAAAACAGTATTTCTCAGTTTAGCCTGGTGTGCTGCCTAATATTGGAAGTAAGAAAGTGATCCAAGTTTTCGACGTTTTCTACTTTTTAAGTGGGACATCAGTCAGGCTGAACATTGCATTATTGACGTTTGGATGATGACTAATCATTATTGAATTATTGTTCCAGTATTGTATTCCAGTATTCCAGTATTCCAGTATTCCAGTATTCCAGTATTCAAGTATAACACATGCAGTCCACCCTACCGTCAGACTTACCTTGGTGGCAAAGTGTTGACATCATCAAAGGGACATAACTCTCCCACTTCTAGACTCTTCTGATAGCGGAAACAGCTCCAGTAAGGATGAAGAACTTTGATCACGTTCAAAATTGTCTCTGTGACGCTGTTGTAGAATGAAGAAATAATTACGGTCATAACGTTACCTTCTTCAGAGATTTACATCAGTGAGTGAGTGAGTATGGTTTTATGCCGCTTTTAGCAATATTCCAGCACGGCGGGGACCACCAGAAATAGGCTTTACACGATGTACCCATGTGAGGAATCAAACATTCACTTCCTTAAATAGGCTTTACACGATGTACCCATGTGAGGAATCAAACATTCACTTCCTTAAATAGGCTTTACACGATGTACCCATGTGAGGAATCAAACATTCACTTCCTTAAATAGGCTTTACACGATGTACCCATGTGAGGAATCAAACATTCACTTCCTTAAATAGGCTTTACACGATGTACCCATGTGAGGAATCAAACATTCACTTCCTTAAATAGGCTTTACACGATGTACCCATGTGAGGAATCAATCATTCACTTCCTTAAATATGATTACGGCAAAACGTTTTCAACATCACATACATATTGCCAAGCGTTAGAAATGACTGAGTAAATGGCATAATGACAAAACATCACAAATTTCACATCAAAGTGACGGACTGACTTCGACGTACCTGTCTGATGGCTCCTGCAGCGGAGGTAGAAGAGGACAGGGGTCATTCAGAAGTGACCTCAAGGTCAGCGCACATCCCTCTGACAGAGACTTGATGCAGTATCCTCCCTGAGGATGTAAACTGGGTGTTTATGATATGTATGACATTAGTATACATGCCTGCAATCAAGAGGCTCAACTTAGTACTATCTTAGAAGTGACTAGGTGAAGGACGTTTTTATAATTTCTACAGTACTATCTCTGTGAGACAGACATGACGTCATCCGGGACTATGATGACGTCACCTGGACTGTGATGACGTCAAGATACAATGGATGACGTCATCATACAATACATGATGACACATACTTCTATGATAACTGAACTCGCCTGGTCAGCAGAATGTGGATAAAAACTAAACCGAAGTCGTTCCTATAAATATTGATCAAACTTAATATTTAAATAATAGGCATTTCCAGGCTTCAAATTCAAATTAATCACCTTGTTTAACCAATCAAATTGCAGTAGATTGCTACAATTAATTTTACATTGATTTGTACAAAACATAATCTGAGCTCGCATACATTCAAAATGGAGGTCTTAAATCAAATTGGCTGGGGATGCAAATTGACCTGACTTGTTTGTTTCTTTGTTTGTTTGTTGTTTAACGCCGCACTCAGCAATACAGCGGTCTGTAAATAATCGAGTCTGGACGTGACAATCCTGTGATTGACATCATGAGCTTCGATCCACGCAGTTGGGATACGATGACATGCATGAACCAAGTCAGCAAGCCTGACCACCTGATCCCGTTAGTCGCCTCTTATGACAAGCATAGTCACCTTTTAACTCGTTACTCACCTCTAGCACGACACACACACGACCTTGACCCAGCGACCCGAGCATGTGAATGAAATGAGCGTAGGCCGACGGGGACACCTCCATCTCCCCCTGAAATGAACAACGCTTTTTACAGGCTAGAAACAACAATACATTTTCATTGAAACAGAAAATATCTTTATAACTAAAACCAATTCAGATGTGTTTGTCTGTTACTAAATGCCACACTATACTTTGTTACACAGTGGTGTTTGCTTGGTAATATGATCTCCGTTATCTGTCTTAAAGATCCACCATCCCAAGGCCCCTCTGCATAAGGACCAGCACTGAGTCTGTTAATGGAGTGTCATTTTGTAACTTGGAACTCCACAATCTCTGCTCAGATCCAAGCACATTCTGACCACTGGAGGATATAGCACACCATATTCCAGCAAACTTCCTGCTATCTGACAGTGGCCGGTATATTTGTTTGTTTGTTTGTTTGTTGTTTTACGCCGCACTCAGCAATATTCCAGCTATATGACGGCGGTCTGTAAATAACCGAGTCTGGACCAGACATCATAAGCATCGATCCACACAATTGGAACCGATGACATGCATCAGCCAAGTCAGCGAGCCTGACCACCCGATCCCATTAGTCTCCTTTTACGACAAGCATAGTCGCCTTTTACGGCAAGCATGGGTTGCTGTAGACCTATTCTACCCCGGATCTTCACGGGTCAGCCGGTAAATAATCAAGTCTAGGTCAGACAATCCTGTGATATATATATAAGGAGCAATGTTCCAAGTCATTCAATACGCCTATTACAGAGTCTGACCCAACCTATCAACATAGTTGCCATCTTGCATCAGAGTGAGTGAGTATGGTTTTACACCTCTTTTAGCAATATTCCAGCAACATCACGGCGGGTGACACCAGAAATGGGCTTCACAGATTGTACCCATGTCGGGAATCGAACCCGGGTCTTCGGACAGCTATATGACTGGAAAATATTCAAATCTGGACCAGACAATCCAGTGATTGACATCATGAGCATCAATCCACGCAATTGGGATCGATGACATGTATCAACCAAGTCAGCGAGCCTGACCACCCGATCCCGTTAGTCGCCTTTTACGACAAGCATAATCGCCTTTTACGGCAAGTATGGGTTGCTGAAGACCTATTGTACCCCGGATCTTCACGGGTCCAGCATGTGTACGATTCACCCTAATTGTATTATGTCTGTTACAATCATACACAATTTAAGGCATTAAAAAAACCTGGTAAACATCAATAGCCTGCATCACTTAATAACTAAAACAAAGTTCACTCACTCACTCGCCCGCCAACCCGCCTGCCTGCCATCCCAGTCAGTGTAATAAGCCAGTGTAATAAGCCAGTATAATAAGCCAGTATGGTTGCTGTACGATCGTAGCTATGTACTGCTTCACTTTCACAATGTGACATGTACTGGTCACCGATACAAAACTACCAATCATTTCTTGATTACGTTCTAACAGAATTATAATCTTGCACCACCAGCCTTCACAATATCTGTCACTGGGGAATTGAGGAATATCATAGAAAGTCTTACACAACCTTGTTCCTGAACAATTGTTCTCAAACCACATATCTATAAGGACACCAAATATTTTGCTTTTATATAAAAAGTCCAGTTTCCTGCTTCAGCTAGTATTTTGAGACAGCGGCAGCGACGGTAGACCCAGCCCCTTTATGTTGCCAGGTTCATCATTTCTGAGGCTTTCAGTAAAACCGGAGCAGTACGTAGCTACACCGTCGCAGCTAAGAGTATGCTTAGCATTACCTTCTGGTCCCCTAAAGCTGCATCAAATCCATTAGATACTACAACCAACTGAGGTCGGAACTGAGCAAAGAGAAATCAGAGTGTGAGTTGGATCATACAGTGAAACCTGCGAATACCAGACCCTGGAGTTACTGGAACCTGGGGATTGAGAGATGCAGAACAAGTTGGTTCTCCAGGGTCTGGTGTTTGCAGGTTCCCTGTATCATGTAACTAAGCAGTATATATCACAGGTACCTCTGGACATCCCAGCGCCGCATCGTAACCGCTGGAAACCAGAACGAGCTGGGGTCTGTACTGAAAAGGTGATGTATGTACTGTAAAACGTGAAATTAATGCGTCTCCAAAAGAATGTGACCGCTGGCCCCTAGCCAAAAATGCGACTCAATATGAATGCGACACCCCCTCCTCTCAAGCATCAGTGGAATTATATCTAAACAAAATGTCCTCTGTCAGGTTTACAGGAGAATCCTCTCCTTAATCCAACCTTACATTAATCCAATCACACACCAAAAAGCACCGCTTATTAGCGCTGAGTAGAGTACTTCAGCTAAAACAATACATGTACGCTGGCTCGTGTTGGCCTTTGATGCAGTCGCAAAGAGCAAAGACACCGTGTTGGGTGGCGTCTGTCTGGACTTGCAGGTGTGATCAGTGATGACATGAGTGAGTAGAACGCTTGTCTTGACCCCAGCAGTGACAATTCACAGGATGTAATTAGTGTTTGAATGACATAAATTCAGTGCAAAAAATAGAAGCCGGGCCTCTAATAGACGCTGGGTCGATCAGTTGATACAATTAATGATCCCTTTTTCCATTTCGTGACGATTCTGGATATTCGTTGTCATAGTGAAATGGGGGTATTAATAGAAGCCGGGCCTCCAATAGACATCGGGCCTCTAACTGACGCTGGGTCAAAGGCTTGTCCGAAATAAATAGAAGCCCGGGCATCTTATAGAGGAAATATGGTATGTACCCAACTCTTGAGCCCAACAGCAGGTACCCGGGTAGGGTCGGGTAATAGGGGATCGAGTACCCAGGTCATAAATTTGGACTCATCCCAGCCCTAGTACTGATGTTTTCAGAGGCTAGTGAGTGTGAGAATGATCTGAACTGTTAGATTACATCATTTTTGGATCGTTTATTGTTTAACACTGTACACAGCATTATTCCAGAAGTAAAATATATGACAGCGGATGAAATAATCGACCCTGGACCAGACAATCCAATGACTGATATTATGAGCAATGATCTTCACCGTCGGGGTACGGTGACACACTAAGTCAACCAGCCTGTCCACAATCCATTCTAACCCGAAATTACTTGGGCAACCTGTCAATTTTAGACCAGCATAGGTTACTGGGAACATGGTCCAGCATAGGTTACTAGGAACATGGACCAGCATAGGTTACTGGGAACATGGTCCAGCATAGGTTACTAGGAACATGGACCAGCATAGGTTACTGGGAACATGGACCAGCATAGGTTACTGGGAACACGGACCAGCATAGGTTACTGGGGACATGGACAAGCATAAGTTCCTGGGAACATGGACCAGCATAGGTTACTGGGAACATGAACTAGCATAGGTTACTGGTAACATGGACCAGCATAGGTTACTGGGAACATGGACCAGCATAGGTTACTGGGAACATGGACCAGCATAGGTTACTGGGAACACGGACCAGCATAGGTTACTGGTAACATGGACCAGCATAGGTTACTGGTAACATGGACCAGCAAAGGTTACTGGGAACATGGACCAGCATAGGTTACTGGTAACATGGACCAGCAAAGGTTACTGGGAACATGGACCAGCATAGGTTACTGGGGACATGGACCAGCATAGGTTACTGGGAACATGGACCAGCATAGGTTACTGGGAACATGGACCAGCATAGGTTACTGGAAACATGGACCAGCATAGGTTACTGGAAACATGGACCAGCATAGGTTACTGGGAACATGGACCAGCATAGGTTACTGGGAACACGGACCAGCATAGGTTACTGGGAACATGGACCAGCATAGGTTACTGGGAACATGGACCAGCATAGGTTACTGGGAACATGGACCAGCATAGGTTACTGGTAACATGGACCAGCATAGGTTACTGGGAACATGGACCAGCATAGGTTACTGGGAACATGGACCAGCATAAGTTACTGGGAACATGAAGAATCATAGGTTACTGGTAACATTGACCAACATAGGTAAATGGGAACATGAAGAATCATAGGTTACTCGGAAAATGGACCAACATAGGTTACTGGGAACATGGACCAGCATAGGTTACTGGGGACATGGACCAGCATAGGTTACTGGGAACATGGACCAGCATAGGTTACTGGGAACATGGACCAGCATAGGTTACTGGGAACACTGACCAACATAGGTAAATGGGAACATGAACAATCATAGGTTACTCGGAACAAGGCCAGTGTAGGTTACTGGGAACATGGACCAGCATAGGTTACTGGGAACATGGACCAGCATAGGTTACTGGGAACATGGACCAGCATAGGTTACTGGGAACATGGACCAACATAGGTTACTGGGAACATGGACCAGCATAGGTTACTGGGAACATGGACCAACATATGTTACTGGGAACATGGACCAGCATAGGTTACTGGGAACATGGACCAGCATAGGTTACTGGGAACATGGACCAGCATAGGTTACTGGGGACATGGACCAGCATAGGTTACTGGGGACATGGACCAGCATAGGTTACTGGGAACATGGACCGGCATAGGTTACTGGGAACACTGACAAACATAGGTAAATGGGAACATGAACAATCATAGGTAACTCGGAACATGGACCAACATAGGTTACTGGGAACATGGACCAACATAGGTTACTGGGAACATGGACCAGCATAGGTTACTGGGAACATGGACCAGCATAGGTTACTGGGAACACTGACCAACATAGGTAAATGGGAACATGAACAATCATAGGTTACTGGGAACATGGACCAGCATAGGTTACTGGGAACAAGGCCAGTGTAGGTTACTGGGAACATGGACCAGCATAGGTTACTGGGAACATGGACCAGCATAGGTTACTGGGAACATGGACCAACATAGGTTACTGGGAACATGGACCAGCATAGGTTACTGGGAACATGGACCAGCATAGGTTACTGGGAACATGGACCAGCATAGGTTACTGGGAACATGGACCAGCATAGGTTACTGGGAACATGGACCAACATAGGTTACTGGGAACATGGACCAGCATAGGTTACTGGGAACATGGACCAACATAGGTTACTGGGAACATGGACCAGCATAGGTTACTGGGAACATGGACCAGCATAGGTTACTGGGAACATGGACCAGCATAGGTTACTGGGGACATGGACCAGCATAGGTTACTGGGAACATGGACCAGCATAGGTTACTGGGAACACAGACCAGCATAGGTTACTGGGGACATGGACCAGCATAGGTTACTGGGGACATGGACCAGCATAGGTTACTGGGAACATGGACCGGCATAGGTTACTGGGAACACTGACAAACATAGGTAAATGGGAACATGAACAATCATAGGTAACTCGGAACATGGACCAACATAGGTTACTGGGAACATGGACCAACATAGGTTACTGGGAACATGGACCAGCATAGGTTACTGGGAACATGGACCAGCATAGGTTACTGGGAACACTGACCAACATAGGTAAATGGGAACATGAACAATCATAGGTTACTGGGAACATGGACCAGCATAGGTTACTGGGAACAAGGCCAGTGTAGGTTACTGGGAACATGGACCAGCATAGGTTACTGGGAACATGGACCAGCATAGGTTACTGGGAACATGGACCAACATAGGTTACTGGGAACATGGACCAGCATAGGTTACTGGGAACGTGGACCAGCATAGGTTACTGGGAACACTGACCAACATAGGTTACTGGGAACATGGACCAGCATAGGTTACTGGGAACACGGCCAGCATAGGTTACTGGGAACATGAACCAGCATAGGTTACTGGTAACATGGACCAGCATAGGTTACTGGTAACATGGACCAGCATAGGTTACTGGGAACATGGACCAGCATAGGTTACTGGGAACATGGACCAGCACAGGTTACTGGGAACATGGACAAGCATAGGTTACTGGGAACATAGACCAACATAGGTTACTGGGAACACGGACCAGCATAGGCTACTGGGGACATGGACCAGCATAGGTTACTGGGAACATGGACCAGCATAGGTTACTGGGAACACTGACCAACATAGGTAAATGGGAACATGGACAAGCATAGGTTACTGGGAACACAGACCAGCATAGGTTACTGGGAACATGGACCAACATAGGTTACTGGGAACACAAACCAGCAAAGGTTACTGGGAACATGGACCAGCATAAGTTACTGGGAACACAAACCAGCAAAGGTTACTGGGAACATGGACCAGCATAAGTTACTGGGAACATGGACCAGCATAGGTTACTGGGAACATGGACCAAGATAGGTTACTGGGAACATGGACCAGCATAGGTTACTGGGAACATGGACCAGCATAGGTTACTGGGAACACAAACCAGCAAAGGTTACTGGGAACATGGACCAGCATAAGTTACTGGGAACATGGACCAGCATAGGTTACTGGGAACATGGACCAAGATAGGTTACTGGGAACATGGACCAGCATAGGTTACTGGGACACAGACCAGCATAGTTAATCGGATCATGGACCAGCATAGGTTACTGGGAACATGGACCAGCATAGGTTACTGGGAACAAGGCCAGCATAGGTTACTGGGAACATGGACCAGCATAGGTTACTGGGAACATTGACCAGCATAGGTTACTGGGAACACAGACCAACATAGGTTACTGGGAACATGGACCAGCATAGGTTACTGGGAACACGGACCAGCATAGGCTACTGGGAACACGGACCAGCATAGGTTACTGGGAACATGGACCAGCATAGGTTACTGGGAACGTTGACCAGCATAGGTTACTGGGAACATGGACCAGCATAGGTTACTGGGAACATGGACCAGCATAGGTTACTGGGAACATGGACCAGCATAGGTTACTGGGAACATGGTCCAGCATAGGTTACTGGGAACATGGACCAGCATAGGTTACTGGGAACATTGACCAGCATAGGTTACTTGGAACATGAACAATCATAGGTTACTGGGAACATGGACCAGCATAGGTTACTGGGAACACTGACCAGCATAGGTTACTGGGAACATGGACCAGCATAGGTTACTGGGAACACAGACCAGCATAGGTTACTGGGAACATGGACCAGCATAGGTTACTGGGAACATGGACCAGCATAGGTTACTGGGAACACAGACCAGCATAGGTTACTGGGAACACAGACCAGCATAGGTTACTGGGAACATGGACCAGCATAAGTTACTGGGAACATGGACCAGCATAGGTTACTTGGAACATGGACCAACATAGGTTACTGGGAACATGGACCAGCATAGGCTACTGGGAACACGGACCAGCATAGGCTACTGGGAACCCCAAATCCCTACTGGAGCTGAAGTGTTAAATTATAGAAACATGACAAAAGAGAAAAACATGTTTCTGATTCTGAGGGTAACTCTACCTGAAAGTATTGCCTTTGAATATTTTGCCCCATGTAATGATTAAATTCTTCTGCAGGTTTTGTGACTATTGTTTGTTAATGTTAAAAATGAAAGGCATGACTGATAGGTCTGAGTTTAGTCCTGAAATTCAAACTTGTGGGTCAAGTTATCCATTATTACATACCACTTAGTACCCAAAGAAGTGTCAAGTGTAAGAACCCCTTTTATCTAAAGCACTTGACACTTGAAGTCTACATTTGTCATATTTACCTCATAGGCTACAGGCATTAGGATCTGCTGGAGTACTGCGAAGTAGTCACTGTCTGTCATCCCAATCTGAAACACGCATCAGTACCGTAGAGGACATTCCCCATCTCTACACATTTCACCCTCAGCATCTTGCATCTCTACAGACCATTCCAGAAAATATTATTGTGAAAACCATTTCTTTACATTCAGTAACATAATACAAGCATTACCTTGAGGAGTTGCTGAGACAACAATGCTACTTTACTGAGCTGCTAAGATAACACTGACACCTTACTGAGTTGCTAAGACAACAATGTTATTTTACTGAGCTGCTAAGATAACACTGACACCTTACTGAGTTGCTAAGACAACAATGCTACTTTACTGAGCTGCTAAGATAACACTGACACCTGACTGAGTTGCTAAGACAACAATGTTACTTTACTGAGCTGCTAAGATAACACTGACATCTTTAATGAGTTGCTAAGACAACAATGCTACTTTACTGAGCGGCTAAGATAACACTGACACCTTACTGAGTTGCTAAGACAACAATGTTACTTTACTGAGCTGCTAAGATAACACTGATACCTTACTGAGTTGCTAAGACAACAATGTTACTTTACTGAGCTGCTAAGATAACACTGACACCTTACTGAGTTGCTAAGACAACAATGTTACTTTACTGAGCTGCTAAGATAACACTGACACCTTACTGAGTTGCTAAGACAACAACTTTACCTTGTTGAGTGGGACGTTGATGTTGTATCCTTTGCCTTTTCCCTTGCCGGTGAAGTCATAATCAGATTCTCGAAGGTTCGGCCAATACATCCCGTTTTCATAACGGTGTATTGAGAAGTACAAAACCCTTTAAGAAAGTCAAAATGTCAAGCACTCAAGTAACCAACTAATCTAACAAAACGAGGACTACACAAATGCAAAATAGATGTGATATGTATGCTTGACACGAAAGAACGCTTAATTACACATTGTGATAAACAGATACATGAACCTAGATGACACAGAGTCGTCTACAGCAGTCTACTTCAATGTAGAACAGACTCATCTTGGTGCTGTAAAAATGACAAGCTCGGGACATCTATGTAATCCGACTTAGATGACAGACCGCTGTACAGAATGGTACCTGGGCTAGAAACAAAGATTCCTTACAGCATAAACTGATCCAGTATCTCCAGACTTGACACAAGTCACTGGGTGTCAGCATGCAACATTACAAGAAATTGATGGTAGATCTCGAGGGTTGGGGACCGCCTCCGTGGTCTAGTGGTAGAGCGTCCACCCGGAGAGCGGAAGGTCCTGGGTTCGATCCCAGACCGCGTCATACCAAAAGATGTTAAAAGATGGTACTTGTTGTTACCCTGTCTGGCGCTCGGCATTAAGGCATTAAGGGGCTAAAACAAGGACTGGTCGGCTCGGAGTCAGTATACTGTGTCTGAGTGGGGTATTCATGTTAAACTGCGGCATGGTGTCTCAGTGAGCTAGCACTATAAATCAGCACCAGTTCGGACTAGTACAAGCAGCCACACAAACACACACACGTGCATGCACGTCGCTATATAAGTGCAATAATCTTGGACGCCACGTTAAACCCCATTTCACCTCACCTCACCTCTCGAGGGTTGATGAGCTGGGGATGAAATCAGCTGCTGAAACTGCTGTTTCCAGTGTGTCAAATCTACCCGTTCATTTCATGCTCAATGACACCCCCTTCTGCCTCAATTACAAATCTTATTGCAAGTCATCATTTGGTAAATCTATCATATCTTTTCCAAGTCTGTTACCCATCAGCCTGACCTACCTAGGGTCATCGTAGAATGCATACTGTGTACCCTGGCCATGGTGGACGTCCCAGTCAACAATCAAGATCCTACAACACAGGGAGAAGTGACAACTCTCGGACACAGAAACATGCCACTTGAGCACAATACACAAATATTCTCATTGACACTAACGATTGAAGGAAACTTAATTAGAATTTCAAGTATTGGTTGTTTCTGTTAACAAGTGGTGAATAAAGGCTATTCTGAGTTCGCAAAGAGTAAAAAGACTTCTTCCTAGAATCTGTAGTTCTATCTCAAATAATTCACAATAGTCATAATGCCAGGATCAGTTAACAGGAGTTGCCAATTCGGGCTCGTTTATGGACGGTTTGTTGGCCATTGGAGTCCACTTTTGAAAACTGTTGATTACAGCAGAAAACCCCTCTCACTCACTTACTCCGGCACTCACTCGCTCACTCACTCACTCGCTCGCTCACTCACTCGCTCACTCCCTAGCTCACTCACTCGCCCACTCACTCACTCACTCCGGCACTCACTCACTCACTCACTTACTCTGGCACTCACTCACTCACTCACTCACTCACTCACACACTCGCTCACTCACTCACTCACTCACCTCCTCACTCACACACTTGCTCACTCACACACTCACTCACTCACTCACTCGCTCACTCACACACGCTCGCTCACTCACTCACTCGCTCACTCACTCACACACTCACTCACTCACTCACACACTCACTCACTCACTCACTCGCCCACTCACTCACTCACTCACTCACTCACTTACCTGTCCAGGTTAAAGGCCTCCAGTGCATGTTTGGCTGCGATGGCCACATTGTTGAAGATCGAGTACCCACAGAACTCATTGTGCATGGAATGATGTCCTGGAGGTCTGAAATTACACAGAGCAACACAAAGATGAACTTAATTAGCAATTGTTTCTGTAACAACTACTTATAGCCTCGGCGACAACAACCACTTATAACCTAGACCATATAAGAACCACCTATAACCTAGGTTAAACAACCACTTTTTATCTAGGCTAGTACAACCACTTATAGCCTCAGTGACAACAACCACATATAACCTAGACTATAAGAACCACTTATAACCTAGATTAAAACAACCACTTTTTATCTAGGCTAGTACACCCACTTATAGCCTCGGCGACAACAACCACATATAACCTAGACTATAACACCCACTAATAACCACAGTAAAAACAACCACTTATTATCTAGGCTAGTACAACCACTTATAGCCTCGGTGACAACAACCACATATAACCTAGACCATAAGAACCACTTATAACCTAGGTTAAAACAACCACTTTTTATCTAGGCTAGTACAACCACTTATAGCCTCGGTGACACCAACCACATATAACCTAGACCATAAGAACCACTTATAACCTAGGTTAAAACAACCACTTTTTATCTAGGCTAGTACAACCACTTATAGCCTCAGCGACAACAACCACATATACCCTAGACCATAAGAACCACTTATAACCTAGCTTAACACAACCACTTTTTATCTAGGCTAGTACAACCACTTATAGCCTTGGCGACAACAACCACATATACCCTAGACTATAAGAACCACTTATAACCTAGGTTAAAACAACCACTTATTATCTAGGCTGGTACAACCACTTATAGCCTCAGCGACAACAACCACATATAACCTAGACCATAAGAACAACTTATAACCTAGCTTAACACAACCACTTTTTATCTAGGCTAGCACAACCACTTATAGCCTTGGCGACAACAACCACATATACCCTAGACTATAAGAACCACTTATAACCTAGGTTAAAACAACCACTTATTATCTAGGCTAGTACAACCACTTATAGCCTGAGCGACAACAACCACATATACCCTAGACCAAAAGAACCACTTATAACCTAGCTTAACACAACCACTTTTTATCTAGGCTAGCACAACCACTTATAGCCTTGGCGACAACAACCACATATACCCTAGACTATAAGAACCACTTATAACCTAGGTTAAAACAACCACTTTTTATCTAGGCTAGTACAACCACTTATATAATTATAGCCTCGGCAACAACAACCACTTATAAACTCACTTGAGAGTAGATAATTACAAAGTATGATGTTGTATTAATAACTGGCTAAATATACACAAAGAAATATACTCTGCAAAAAGAGAAACGCAAAAGTAGTAAAAAGCCTGGAGCCACAACACACCAACATGACATGCATGTTATCACAATCTTACAGGGGCGGTTGGGTAGCCAAGTGGTTAAAGCGTTCGCTCGTCATGCCAAAGACCCGGGTTCGATTCTTGACATGGGTACAATATGCAATATTGCTAAAAGTGGCTTTAAACCATACTCACTCACTCACTCACAATCTTACAGCAAGGGAACAAAGAAAGCATGCCATGACTGACGAAAGCCCAACGCAAACAGCACCATCGGCCGACTGCACACAGGAGAATCACCTTCAGCTGTTCACATCTACTACAAGACTGTGGAACCACTTGACCTTCCTAGATCCAGTCGACCATGTATCACAACTGGAGTGAGTGAGTGAGTTGTGTTAACACCGCTTTTAACAGTATTCCAGTTATATCACGGCGTGTCAGCTTAATGTGGGAGGAAAGCCCGAAGGGATGCAGGTCTTAGATGTTTACCACTTCGGTGAAACCCACGAGCACGGGTATGGTGCTGACAAGCCTAGAAACATAATCGGGGCGAACTGGGATTCGAACCAACAATGTATCACAACTGGAGCACAGGACAGATTTATATGGCTACGTGAAAGAACCACCACGGCCACCTCTACGGCAATACCAGGATTGTGTAGGATATCAGCCATACATCAGCCCAACAGTTTATGTGCTGAAGGTATTCGCACTAGAGGACCAGTTTGATGTGTCATTTTGACAGACCTGCATCATTGGCAGTGATGTCAGTGATGTCAAGGTCACCGAGTATGGTCACAACTGCGATGAAGACAAGTTTGGTTCAGTGATGAGTCGCGTTTTATGCTTCGCCGTGCGGATGGTAGATGTCTTGTTTACAGGCATCACAGGGAATGTTATGCAAGAAAGTGCACACAGGATGTGGACAGATTTGGCAGTGGTAGTGTGATGATGTGGGCGGCCATCTCCTACACTGATAGAACAGGTTACACCTGTTTCTAGGTCTACACATTTGAAAATGTATTGTGCTTTCAACAATGATCATATTGATATGAAAAGATATCTAAAATCTGATTTGCAAAGAAGATGGAAAACTGAATTTCTGACCCTGCACCAACTGATTCTAAAACAAAAAGAGAAACAACACTGAAATATTTCCCGATTTGAAGTGGCATAAATCAAACCTACCTTATGAGGGCAAATCCATTGCGAACCTGTGGACAGAAAGTAGTTGTTGAGAAGTGTGTGCTATAATTCTCTAATACACTGGTAAACATAGTGTTATAATTTTCTTTTACACTCTCAAACAATGTGCCATAATTCTCTTATATACTGGTGACCAATGTGCTGTAATTCTCTTTTACAAGGGTAAACACAGTGTTATAATTTTCTTTTACACTGGTGAGCAATGTGTTATAATTCTCTTTTACACTGATGAGCAATGTGTTATTATTCTCTTTTACATTGGTGAGCAATGTGTTATAATTCTCTTATACAGTACTAGTGAGCAATGTGTTATAATTCTCTTTTACAGTACTAGTGAGCAATGTGTTATAATTCTCTTATACAGTACTAGTGAGCAATGTGTTATAATTCTCTTTTACAGTACTAGTGAGCAATGTGTTATAATTCACTGGTGAGCAATGTTAACGACAGCTGTTCATTTCATTAGCATGCAGGACACAACATACTGACACTATCATATTTCTAGGTCTCGGCAATATTTGTTAATCTTAACTGAATATATTCAAAGTGAAAAAAACATGAAGCAGCGACTGTTGTAAATGGTTTTACATTTTGCTGGTAAAAAGCATATTATTTACATTTAAAAATGATATGCTATAAAACAAGGTGTTTTCATCAATTTCACTGTCTAATTCCATCTGTAGTGTATACTCTATTGAAGGAAATATTGTTAAATTTTCAGTTAATTAGAAGTGGCAGTTCATCATATGTTCAATAAACAATAAATATTGTTCCAGGTTCAGGTTTTGTTTAATTAGCAACATTTCTTTCCTGCAGAAAGTCGCGTGCTTGCCATGTGAAGCAGGCAGAAAACTTTGATGTGATGGTGAGGTAAAATGGGGTTTAACATCACGCGCAAGATTATTGCTGTGTGTGTGTGTGTGTGTGTGTGTGTGTGTGTGTGTGTGTGTGTGTGTGTGTGTGTGTGTGTGTGTGTGTGTGTGTGTGTGTGTGTGTGTGTCTGCTTGTACTAGTCCGGACTGATGCCGATTTATAGTGCTAGCCCACTGAGACACCATGTCACAGTTAAATGTGAATAGCCCACTCAGACAGTGTACTCACTCCGAGCCGACCAGTCTATGTTTTAGCCCCTTAATGCCGAGCGCCAGACAGGGTAACAACAAGTACCATTCTTGAATGTTTTTTTGCATGAAGCGGCCGGGGATCGAACATCGGACCTTCGGCTTTCTGGGCGGACGCTTTACCACTAGACCACAGAGGCGGTCGTAAACGTTGATGAGTAACCGGAAGTTAAAAATACTTTGTTTATTTGAATGATTAAGTCCCCTTTTCCAATTTTTATGGAAAAATCTGCAAGCAAACATATTGTAGCATATTCCAAACTCTTAAATCAACTTGCTGTTTGGCCACTAGAAATACTTTAAAGCTCATAATTCTCACATGGTGGATATGTTCGTTTGTGATCTGAAAGTTGTATATTATTATGGAAAGATTTGTAGATATCTCCATTTAGTGTTTTTTTCTTGTCAAAACTGAAATTTGCCTGTGTTTTGAAACTTAACCCTGATTGTGTTTTATTTTTCTTGATTTCTGGTAGGACTTAAGTGACAAACAAAATTTGAAAATTTTACAATAATTTGTCTATTTACATACTTATCCTATCTCACACTATAAATTCCTCTTTACACGTCACTATATAAGTGCAATAATCTTGGACGCGACGTTAAACTCTATTTCACCTCACCTCTACCTCTGCACAGAATATCTCGCGTGAGGGCAGTTTGACTGAATGTACATTTTTGGCGTTATATCTTTTGAATCAGGCTCAAAATGAATCAAACGTGAGCAAATGATCCCCTGTAATTATCATAAACAGAAGGAAGATACAACACACTGGATAATGGAGGCTGTTGTCCAGCAGATTGTACATTATCTCCGATTACTTACTTTTTCCTGAATAATATGCTCCATTGTTTCCAGGGTGCAGCCGATGGCGGCCAGGGCACACTCAAATGATGCCTGCAAAATAGACACACACATTCTAAATAGTACATCATGTCCTGTTACCCTTGATTACATTACAGACGATAGCTACACGATGAATCGCAATGAACAGTGAAGAACAAAACATGGTATATTTCACGATAAAACATTGTTCTATTGTGACATCATTTCTGGAGATTCAAACGTGTGCTCGCAACTTGATGATGTCGTATATTGGATCACAATATATGTGAGAGGGAAGTGTCTAATGAGTTGTTACCCCTAGATGTAGCAGTGAACGATCACTTCGGAAATTTGGAGAGACCTGACAATCTGTATTGGGAGAAAAGGCGGAGGTAATTGAAGTGAAAATTGTGAGAAAATGCGGGAAATACCCACCTGTGAATAACATGGTTTTTTCCAACATTGCGGAGGTTGGATTCTATTCAGGATGTCATCATCATTTAAATACAGGTAAATACTTGCAAAGCTTGTCATCATTATTGCTTTTTTATATGATTTTTTTTACTATTATTTTTTTAAGGTGTGGAATCTGTCCACCAATTCGTGCAAGGCCTCACTGTATTGACAACTCATCTGTCCACCAGTTTGTATCATGTAAATGTATTGACAACTCACGTTATTGCAGTAGAAGGAATCATATTTGGTGAAGAAGTCCTGCAGTTCTTCCAGGGTCATGTTGGCCGTGGCCTTCGCCTTCTCCACCAGCTCCTCTGAGTGTTGCAGTGTCACGAGGTCCTCCGTCGCATACCGCATCTGTCAGAAAGTTTTTGTTTGTTTTTGTTTAAAGCCACAGTAAGCAATATTTCAGCAAACTATGATGGCCTATAAACGATCAAATCTTGTAGTATAGACGATGTGCGTACTATGCCAATCCGCTCATAATTATATCATGATGCGGCAAGATGACATTTTGCTAAGCAGTTGCTACATTTTGCTAAGCAGTTGCTACATTTTGCTAAGCAGTTGCTACATTTTGCTAAGCAGTTGTAGCAAAATGTAGCGACTGCTTAGGAAAATATAGCAATTAACTGTCTCGCAAAATGTAAATACATTTCTCTGACTGGTACAGATGGCATAGAGCACTGAGTAAGCGAGTCAGGTCTAATGTCGCTTTGAATCATATTTCAGTGATGGCATGGCTTGTCCTTTTCAGTGATATCAAGGCCCGTTAGTTTCAGTGATATCAAGGCCCATCAGTTTCAGTGATATTAAGGCCCATCAGTTTCAGTGATATTAAGGCCCATCAGTTTCAGTGATATTAAGGCCCATCAGTTTCTGTGATATTAAGGCCCATCAGTTTCAGTGATATTAAGGCCCATCAGTTTCAGTGATATTAAGGCCCATCAGTTTCAGTGATATTAAGGCCCATCAGTTTCAGTGATATTAAGGCCCATCAGTTTCTGTGATCTTAAGGCCCGTCAGTTTCAGTGATATTAAGGCCCATCAGTTTCAGTGATATTAAGGCCCACCAGTTTCAGGGATATCAAGGCCAATCAGTTTCAGTGATATTAAGGCCCATCAGTTTCAGTGATATTAAGGCCCATCAGTCTCAGTGATATTAATGCCCATCAGTTTCTGTGATCTTAAGGCCCGTCAGTTTCTGTGATCTTAAGGCCCGTCAGTTTCAGTGATATCAAGGCCCATCAGTTTCAGTGATATTAAGGCCCATCAGTTTCAGTGATATTAAGGCCCATGCATATGTTTCAGTGATATTAAGGCCCATCAGTTTCAGTGATATTAAGGCTCATCAGTTTCAGTGATATCAAGGCCCATCAGTTTCAGTGATATTAAGGCCCGTCAGTTTCAGTGATATTAAGGCCCATCTGTTTCAGTGATATTAAGGCCCACCAGTTTCAGTGAAATTAAGGCCCATCTGTTTCAGTGATATTAAGGCCCATCAGTTTCAGTGATATTAAGACCCATCAGTTTCAGTGATATTAAGGCCCATCAGTTTCAGTGATATTAAGGCCCATCTGTTTCAGTGATATTAAGGCCCATTAGTTTCAGTGATATTAAGGCCCATCAGTTTCCGTGATATTAAGGCCCATCAGTTTCAGTGATATTAAGGCCCATCTGTTTCAGTGATATTAAGGCCCATCAGTTTCAGTGATATCAAGGCCCATCAGTTTCAGTGATATTAAGGCCCATCAGTTTCAGTGATATTAAGGCCCATCAGTTTCAGTGATATTAAGGCCCACCAGTTTCAGGGATATCAAGGCCCATCAGTTTCAGTGATATCAAGGCCCATCAGTTTCAGGGATATCAAGGCTCATCAGTTTCAGTGATATTAAGGACCATCAGTTTCAGTGATATCAAGGCCCATCAGTTTCAGGGATATCAAGGCCCATCAGTTTCAGTGATATTAAGGCCCATCAGTTTCAGTGATATCAAGGCCCATCAGTTTCAGGGATATCAAGGCCCATCAGTTTCAGGGATATTAAGGCCCATCAGTTTCAGTGATATTAAGGCCCATCAGTTTCAGTGATATCAAGGCCCATCAGTTTCAGGGATATCAAGATACAAATCTTAGATGTACATTTACAACTTTAGTGAAACCTCAAGCATCATGACCAAGTATCATAATTAGGGCAAATCTTGAATCCAAACCAACGACCAGTGGATTGTGATACAACCAAGGGACACAACCTTGCACAAGCATACATGAGACTACTGGACCACATCCACTGATTTGAACAAGAGTCGTCCAGGCTACGTTATAAGAAAGTTCACCTGCAGGCGCCTGCACCTGTCCACAAGCCCCAGCTCACTGCACCGGGCGTAGGGCTGCGTTATCCGGGAGGGATTCTCGGGGTAGGATGGGATCCAATCACATTTGTGCTTAGTCATCACTTCATCATAGGTGAGGGCCGTGCTGAAAGAGGAAAAACGGTTGGTTGCATGTACAAATAAATATACATTGTCAATGCAAGCGAATGACCAGCCTAGATTTTCTGCAGAAACAGATTCCACTTGGCGTGAAGGGCCAATAACTGTGCAAATTATATAGATGGAGTTGATTTGAAAAGTAGGGGTGGATTGTGTGATTGGGTAATTGAGTTCAGTAGGGCTATTTTGTTGAAAGTATATCATCAAATGAGGTAGTCATAGTGTTGTTTACGTTTATGTTTAGTGACCCCAGTACCAACACAGTCCTTAAATGTATAAATGTCAGTATTGACATACCCATTTATTGATTTGGGCTTCCGTCTATTGCATTTATGTAACTCTGACAGATTAGGGAAAATAAGAGTACTGACTTACCCATTTATTGATTTGGGCTTCCTTTCATCTTCATCTTTCTGGAAATATCAACATTATAATAATTATGTATACCTACTTCATGATGAAAACAGCAACAGAAAACAGGATTTATTTGAACATATTTCAACTCCACATGTCACTTCAGGCGAAACCTTATGGTCCCAGCAGGCGGGCATTCGGAAGAGTGCTACACAGACTGACAGACACTCACAGTGCTTCACAAAAACAGACACTCACAGTGCTACACACACAAACAGACAGACAGACACTGACAGTGCTACACAGAGACAGACAACGACAGTGCTACACAGAGACAGACAGACACTGACAGTGCTACACACACAGACAGACTCCGACAGTGCTACACAGAGACAGACAGACACTGACAGTGCTACACACACAGACAGACACTGACAGTGCAACACAGAGACAGACAAGCTTACACTCACAGTGCTACACTGACAAAGATACAAACAGACACTTACAGTGCTACACAGACAAATTTACAGACTCTCACAGAACTACAGACAGATAAACATACAAACAGACACTCACAGAACTACACAGACAGATAAACATACAAACAGACACTCACAGTGCTACACAGACAAACATACAGACACTCACAGAACTACACAGACAGACAAACATACAAACAGACACTCACAGTGCTACACAGGCCCATCAGCATAGCCAGGTCCTCATCATCACTCTCCCTGGCACGAGCTGCATCTTGATTCTGAAGGTAATTAAAAATAGTGTCAGTTTACAATGTTTATAATAAAAGGATCAACAATAATATACAAATGAAATGTAAGAAGTTTCAACAAAAATTACAAATCAATACCTGCAAAATTGGATTTGATTCCTGTGAAGGGTACAATGCTACTTTACCTGTATCTAATGATACAGAACTATCTGTATCTTATATCTGCATAACATGTAGAACATGGTACTAGACCGCAAGAGAACCAGAACAGGTGTCCTTCCTGGAAGAAGTGTGTGACATTAATAACCATCTAACATAAATACATGATTGATGGGCACCAACTCTGCCTTTTTAAAGGTTACTCTTGTCATGGTGTATACTCTGAAACATTGTGTTCCTCCTTATAAAGAAGTTGACATCCATAAATTCTCTTCCTCACTACTCTTGCTCATCCGTATCCTCGCAAGGGCAAGTCAACATTCATCATGTGAGATGCCTGCCTGCAAATGGCAAAGGGTGCCAGGTGATACAGCTTATGTTGATTACGAGGACGACTAGAGACGTGTGTTTGTGTTACAATGTCTCAGGATGTACTTTTGCGGAAAACACCAAACACCAAAGTAAGATTATCCTGTTGCTAAGATGTCTCCATAACAAGGGAATGTTCTCCTGGTTCACAGGCAACAATCACATACAACAATCAACACAATGCTTCCTACTAATAACTCTCCCTCTTTACCAAGAAACAAAAATACAATAAAACAGAGAAACAACATATTGCAATACATGTAACTAAAATGGCCCTTGTTTAAGAACATGTCATTCTTATGGTGGGAAACTTGAAACAGAAACCCCATATAGATCTGAACCTTTTGATAAAAGTATGTCATGTTGGATCTTCCTGAGTGAAGCTGTTTACAAAAACATCAACAGGATGACGGATGATTAACCATGACTCACAGACTATAAGATATAAGTTCACTCAGTCTGGCCAGTAGTCCAGGTGAAGTAGAATCCAGTATTGATAACAGGGTTAGCAGAAATATTTCAGTTTCATTGGTGTAGCAACATTACAGATCGAAACAAAATCAGAAACTAGAATTTTCAGTTTGAAAAAGAAAGTAGATCTAATCATATTTGTCAAAAATTGTTTTGTGTAAGAATATCACAGGAAAAAAAATAGAAAAGAAATATTTCTCATTGTCATGCCAGTCATTTCAAAACCAGCGGGTCAATGATTTTGTTTTGGTTCCCCAAACAGCGATTTCCTAAATTTCTGCATTTCAGATTTTAGTCTTCAATTAGAGTCATGTTTCCTTTACTGTCCGACAGCCATGTTGTGGACCTTCCTGACAGCCCAGGGCTCATGTAGCTTTCAATATACTGAAAACATGTAGCCACATTCGTGACAAGGCTTTCCTTGTCAGAATTAAATACTCCCTTTCATTTTAGTATCTTTGTTTGCCTTCTTTCCTTTGCTGTTTGAAAACAAGGCCATGTACTCAAAAATGTTTTTAAACTATGGAGAAAAAAGGCCTAGCCACCTTGTCATTTTCACAAGAAACATTTTTTTTAGGCCTTTTAGTTTTTATGTGGTATTTAAGTAATATGGGGAATTCCAATCTGTTGTAGCAACAAGCTTAAAAGCTAATTCTGAAGAGGCAAACAAGGAACATCTCTAGCCAGTATAAAGGGGAGAACTGTATAGTTATAAGACTATAACAACAATCACCACTGTATCATGAGCTGAATTTACAATTCACAGTTCATAAATTTGAATTCACAATAAAAATAAATAGTAAGTTATGTCTGTATTCTGGAAACTATTTTGATAAATAGTTTGTTTTTATGTTTTCTTGTTGTGTAACGCACTCAGCAATATTACAGCTTTTTGACGGCAATCAGTAAATAATCAAGTCCAGACAATCCAGTGATTGATATCATGGGATTCAATCTACACAACTGAGATACGATAACATGCTTAAACCAAGTCAGCGAACCTGACCACCCAATTTGTTAGTTGCCTCTTACAACAAGCATAGTCGCCTCTTACGGCAAGCATGGGTTGCTGAAGACCTGGATCTTCAGGGTCTATATTGATAAAAAGCAAGCCATCATGGTTCAAAATCTTCTCTAAATGTACCTGAAATTAGGTTTTCAATACGAACCAGAGTGTCAGTACCAGCAGCAGCATCCTTCACAGAGGAATGCGGACATTACCCACTTCCTGCCTACCTGTTCAGCCCTTGACAGTGTAAATACACCATTAACATTCTGATGTTGCTAGGGCTACCCTATCAAGTTGTTTCTACAGGCAATAACAGCAGCTTCTGTGGTTGACCCTCTTAATGCAAACATCTATCAATAATCATTACAAAAACTGACTCTGAAAATGTATTTATTATATAAATATCCATCAAGAATAAACAAAATTAAAATGAACAAGCAAAACAGCTATGGTCATAAAGTGCAATAAAGCAAAATAGATGCTGTTTCTAATTATATGAAAAGATTATTTAGATGTCTAGCAAAACAACCTTATCACCTTGGTTGGCCTGTCGTTAAGCTGCTTCAAGGTACACAGTATAGGCCCTGTAGCTCACCTGCCTCAAATGTTACTTGTCGATACATGTACAACTGTTCCAGCAAACACAACCCCAAACTGTAGGACTCGTGGCCGAAATTACAACAAAATCATAGCACACATCTTTAGTAAGTGCACTTATCGTTTGGGTAAGAAATCAAAAAGTGTTTTTCAGAATGTATTTCCTGTAAATAAAAGCGAAAAAAAAAACATTTCCACAATCAGAAGAAATTTCTGAATCAATTGAACGTTTCTATGTCATTGATCAGGTCTTCATGAATCACTATCAAACAGTGATGACACCGGATGTTAACAAAAATGTGATCGTCTCCTGCCCAACCTGTGGCACCCATCACAAACACATGCAAAGGCAAGTCAATTGTTCATCTGAAAAAACATGGGGGCATATGTTAAAGTCAAAATAGGGAATTGCATCAGAGATCAATTTTGTCACTGACCCTTTGGTCTACCATGAAATGTTTTTTTGTCCCTTTTAAAAATGTTTTGAAAGATTTAATTAGGCCTTGAATGTTGTGACCGTGATCAAACAACCTCTGAGCATCAGTCGTAAATCATGAAATTAATGTGTCACCATCTTAATGTGAGTGGCTACCCCCGACCAAAATGTGCCATGAAAGTAGCCCTACCTTCCACATGTGAAAACAGTTTGCTTCGTGTCTTATGCCACACTCAGAAATAGTCCAGCGATTTCGCGGCAGTCCGTAAAGCTTCAAGTCTGGACCAGACAATCCACTTATAACATCTTATGCCTTGATCTACGCAATTAGGATATGATGACATGCATCAACCAAGGCCTGACCACCCGATCCTGTTAAATGCCTCTTACACACAAGCATCATCGCCTCCTACGGCAAGCATAAGTTGCTGAAGACCTAATCTCACCCGGATCTTCACGGGTACATCATAGATGTGAACAAGTTGAATATTACAACTGTACAATTTGAGTTGTTGTTAAAAATTCTCATAATTAATTCTTACCTCTTCCTGATGATCCATGTCTAAAATCGGTAGCTTGCCAAGCTTGTGGACGTCTATCTACGCAGCCATTGAGAACAAACGGACCTGAAAGAGAAGCAATAACAGTCAGTACATAATGGTAAAGCTTCCTGAGGACTTACCAGGGCTTGATTTAACTATATATAACGTGCACCAGTGCAATACTTGGTGCTGGGCTTTGATCATTCTATGAAATACTGTATTCTAAAGGTGTGGGGCTTTGATCATTCCATGAACCGCTGTATTCTAAAGGTGTGGGGCTTTGATCATTCCATGAAATACTGTATTCTAAAGGTGTGGGGCTTTGATCATTCCATGAACCCCTGTATTCTAAAGGTGTGGGGCTTTGTTCATTCCATGAACCACTGTATTTTGATTGTGTTGGCTTTGATCATTCCATGAACCACTGTATTCTAAAGGTGTGGGGCTTTGATCATTCCATGAACCGCTGTATTCTAAAGGTGTGGGGCTTTGATCATTCCATGAACCGCTGTATTCTAAAGGTGGGGGGCTTTGATCATTCCATGAACCACTGTATTCTAAAGGTGTGGGGCTTTGATCATTCCATGAACCACTGTATTCTAAAGGTGTGGGGCTTTGATCATTCCATGAACCACTGTATTCTAAAGGTGTGGGGCTTGGATCATTCCATGAACCACTGTATTCTAAAGGTGTGGGGCTTTGATCATTCCATGAACCACTGTATTCTAAAGGTGTGGGGCTTTGATCATTCTATGAACCGATGTATTCTAAAGGTGTGGGGCTTTGATCATTCCATGAACCACTGTATTCTAAAGGTGTGGGGCTTTGATCATTCCATGAACCACTGTATTCTAAAGGTGTGGGGCTTTGATCATTCCATGAACCACTGTATTCTAAAGGTGTGGGGCTTTGATCATTCCATGAAATACTGTATTCTAAAGGTGTGGGGCTTTGATCATTCCATGAACCACTGTATTCTAAAGGTTTTGGGCTTTGATCATTCCATGAACCACTGTATTCTAAAGGTGTGGGGCTTTGATCATTCCATGAACCGCTGTATTCTAAAGGTGTGGGGCTTTGATCATTCCATGAAATACTGTATTCTAAAGGTGTGGGGCTTTGATCATTCCATGAACCGCTGTATTCTAAAGGTGTGGGGCTTTGATCATTCCATGAACCGCTGTATTCTAAAGGTGTGGGGCTTTGATCATTCCATGAACCACTGTATTCTAAAGGTGTGGGGCTTTGATCATTCCATGAACCGCTGTATTCTAAAGGTGTGGGGCTTTGATCATTCCATGAACCACTGTATTCTGATTGTGTTGGCTTTGATCATTCCATGAACCACTGTATTCTGATGGTGTGGGGCTTTGATTATTTCATGAAACGCTGTATTCTGATGGTGTGGGGCAAATATTTTACGATGCACATATTGCAATATGTAGCACAATATATTGTATAAATCTGAAACATCAAGCTATGAATTGAAGTTCATAAATATCACAAAACAACATGCTGGTACAACATAATGTTTACTCATTCAATAAATATGCAGCCATCTTTGGCAGAGTCTGACATAAAATAAATTGTCTGGCTGCTATCAGGACAAAAAGAACTTAGCAGCAGCAGGCGCTTACTAATCTCTTCAGGCCCTCATTTAAAAACCACTGCTTATTGTGACAAAAAAATTTACACGTTACTTTTATGAAGGCCAATATAACCCATGCAATTACAAACCAGGGGACTGACACGAGATCTACCTGGTTTATTTGAAACACTGATCTTGGTGCCCTAGAAGCACGCTGAGGTATTTGGCAGTGTCTAACATAAAACATAAAACACATGATAAACATCACTATTTCGATCACTATCGATGCAGTCACTTTGGAGCAGACAAGACCAAGTCGTAGATGGTGGTGGGTTGTTAGAATAGTTCATGAACAGAGTTTCAGGTCATCCCAGGTCATCCCAGGTCAACCACGTGTCATGTGTTCAATTGAGTCCTGATTCACTTCCTTCTTAGGCGTGGTCTTGTCTGGCAACCTTGAAATGAACATGAAGTCAATGTCAACCGGAGACCTCATGACAGAGGCGTAGGATCAGTTATTGTGTGGGGTATCATCACTATGACTGAGAACTATGCTACCCTTTCCATATTGTGCAAGGAAGGGTCACTGTACAGTGCTATCGGCACAACATACTGACATCCTATTTGTCCTGTGTGGGGGTTGATGTTATATCTTTTACGATTCGCCTTGCTGATGGGTGGAATCGCGTTTATAGGCACTGCGGGAAAGACAGGGCCCAAAACTGCACACAGGAAGTGGAGAGTTTGGGTAGTGTTATTGGATGATGTTTGCAGTTATCTCCTACACTGTTATAACAGACTTGGTGCAAGTTTAAGGGAATTTATCGGCACAAAGTTACACGGTTGAGATTCTTCGGTCACACATTCTTTCCATTATGCAACAAGCATATTCCAACAAGACAGTACCCAATCCCACACAACAAGACTGGCAACAGCCATTTTCAGAAATCACAACATCCAGGTCCTGTCATTGCCTTTCCAGGTCTTCAGATTTAAACCCAATTGAACATGCATGTGTAGCAGGGCGTGGAGTCATCCTACAGATGACATCCTTACCTTGTCAGCTTGCTGACGGGGTTAACCTCTTTGATCATGTGGACAAGGCGTCCGACCTCGGATCAGAAGGTCCGTGGTTCAAATCCCATCACGGGAGTCGAAAATTTTATGGCTGCTACATTGGCTCCCAACGTGGGGCTAAGCACGTTCATATTAGATTTGAGCAATATAAGCCTCAGTACCCTACTATGCAGCCCGTGACGTGCCTTCTGTTGATGGGGGAGTATGTAGCATGGCGTGGAGTCATCCCACAGATGACATCCTTACCTTGTCAGCTTGCTGATGGGGTTAACCTCTTTGGTCATGTGGACAAGGCGTCCGACCTCGGATCAGAAGGTCCGTGGTTCGCATCCCATCAAGGGACTCGGAAATTTTATGGCTGCTACACATGCACGTCAGCAACAACCACAAAACCCTGACAGCTGGCACAAGCACTGTCAGCTGAGTGACTGGACGTTCCCCAGGCCACCACTCGGTATGCCAGTCAGTTTTGGACTCTAATGGTGGCCATACAAGATCTTGACCAAGATGACCCCCACCTTGAAAATTTACTGTTCCACATGTGCCAAAAGGAACCTGAGAATGACGTGTGCCAATTTTAAACAATCGATCATCATCTGTTGCTTATTTATAGGATATATAAAATAAACATCTAAAATCACTTTTGCGTTTCTGTTTCTGCATAGTATAATATCTGTTAATTTGGGAAATTTTAATTTATTTCAAAGTATTCCCTATTCTTTTTAGGAGTATATTTTACATGTGCAGAATTTTATTGATTGGCCACATTTGGGAGTTCAATGCTCAAACTATGTTTTATGTCAGGTGTGCTTGATTTGTCCACATCACAAATATGTAGTTTTTATCATGTCACACCCTAAATAACAGAAACAACGATTAATAAAGTGCAACTGATCACATAAATAGCAGGTTTTTTAAATCAAACCAGAACCGAAACAAATGACCGAATATGTAGATACTCGATTTTCGCTTCTAGAGAATATGTACTTTGCCAACTGACAAAAATAAAGTTCTACTTTACAGACTATCCTTCTAGTAATATAGGACTAAGCATTGAAGCCCTTTCTTCCAGTGCAATACAACCTACCAGTCTCTCAACCAATGCATCACATATATTCAAATATATGACATTCAAATATAAGATTGCTACGCAATAAATCGCACCAAACAATGAAGGACAAAACATGGTAAAATAAGCTGATCTCATGAGAAAATAGTGCTATGTCATGAAGTCATTTCTGGAGATTCGAACATGCCCTCGCAGCTTGATGACATTGTAAATTGGAGGAGGATGTTTGAGAGGAAGGCGAGTTGTTCCCCTAGATGTTACTAGATAAACCCTAGCCGAACGATCGCGTTCAAAAGTGGGAGAGATATGAAAATTGGTATTGGGAGAAAAGGGAGAGAAAATTGACTTGAGAATTGTGAGAATTTTGCGGGATTTACAAATTTAAATCCCCTGTTAATAAAATGGACTTGTCTGATATTGCCAAGGTCAGATTCTTTTCAGGGAGTCATTATTTAAATAGGGGTAAATTTTTTTACAGCTTGCACCTTTTATTAACATCACAAAGGAGGCTACCCATAATATTGATATCCCATAAAATAAATACATGTATACGACTCGTGGTCGATGTTTATCCTACAATAAAACACTACAGGGAGAAAAATCCACTCAGGGCTGCACCCCTTATGGTTTATTCTCCCTGTGTTTTATTGTAGGATAAGCATCGACCACGAGTTGTTTATTTTAAAAATAAAATGGACAAGGAAATATGCCTCTGAGCAGATATATATATATATATATAAATCCCTGCTGAAGGTGAGGTGAGGTGAGGTCCGGGTGGGCCCTGCTTAAGAGTCAAGTCCCATCACCTGTGAGGACCATGTTATCACAAACAGAGGGGTGTACTGGTCCGAAATCGTTCCAGTAACCCTTGTGACATGAGGCACACAATCAGATCATGAAACACAAACATGAATGTTACCATGTCCACCTTGGTTGATGTGTACAGTCAACAGGTCCTGGGAAGTATGTGGTGTGTCGATGGTTATCAGTATTCACTGCATGCCTCGTCACGTGCACTGTGACAACTGGATGTGCTCAGCATCGGTTTGGCTGAGTTAGGCATGTACAGTTTCCACACCAGTATAGTTGGTAGAGTTGGGACAAGTCCAAATTTACTACACGGATACCAACCCCCTATTACCCAACCCTTCCTCGGTACCCGGTATCAAGAGAAAGGTCCAAATGTCTGACTGGGAATAGCTTGACTGTAGCCCTGACAAAATGTATCTAGATACTCCTAAAAAAGACGATCAGGTCATGTTGACTGAAGTTTTATCTTTTTGCAATCATGTCAAGTCAGAAGGAATGCAAACACCAGTCACTTATTGTGTAACCATAGAGTTCCAGATAATTTTTGTCATTAAACAATATATCACGTGACTAACCACGGGTCCGGGTAGTCCTGTGGGTACCTGGGTCCTTCTCAGTACCCATCCGACCCGGGTACCCGAGTTACCCGTCCCAGCACTAATAGTTGGGTTAATGTTCTTTAAAAGAACTGGTTCCCTTAACATTAAAAACTCTAACGAAAATGGGCCTACAATTTGACGTATTATGAAACCATGCAGTGGCCAGGGACTTGAATGAAACATTAATATTTTGTCACTACTGCTTCCAGACATTAATATTAACATGAATATTATTTTCACAACACGTTTCACTTCCTCCAACATGTCCAGCAAACATTTACTTTTATTATTGGTTGTAAAACCTGTGGCAATATTACTTTGGTCAACCTCTCAGGAAAGACAGGAAGGACATTTTACATATTATGTGGAAGTAGTAAGTCATCCACCCCATGTTAAGCAATGGAAAATTTAATAAAGTAGCCTGCTATATCAACAAATCTTCAGTTGACCCGTATGTTCCATCTTCCTGAGGCAGGGCGTTAACTGACAATGAAAGTCCAGTTTCCAACCTTGCCTCAGGAAGATGGTATGTTCATTCATCAACCAGAATAATATAAATTCTACATTCACAGATACTACCTAGGTGCAGGGCCCACTTGCACAAAGCGACCTTAGCGCTAAGATGATCGTAACTCCCATTCATTAACATAGCCTTACGATAGCCTTAGCGCTAAGATCGCTTTGTGCAAGTTGGTCCTGGACCTGATGTTGAGGCAATAGGCTAGTTCATACCATAGTCAATGTATTATGCGCCCCACCCCAATAAACGCCCCCTGACCAATCTGTAAGTAATCATTATAAGCTCCCCGTATTCAACCTGAAAATTTACATGAGAGTCCGTGCTTTCTTGTGTGTATTACAGACAGTTTTACAGAAAAAACACAAGTACAGGAAGGGGAAGAAGAGGTACATAGTTGCCCGATCTCAGGTGAGGTGAGGTGAGGTGAGGTGAGGTGAGGTGAAATTGGGTTTGATGTCGCGTCCAAAATTATTGCACTTATATAGCGACGTGCATGCACGTGTGTTTGTGTGTGTGGCTGCTTGTTCTAGTCCGGACTGATGCCGCTTTATAGTGCTAGCTCACTGAGATACCATGCCACAGTTTAACATGAATACCCCACTCAGACACAGTATACTGACTCCGAGCCGACCAGTCCTTGTTTTAGCCCCTTAATGCCGAGCGCCAGACAGGGTAACAACAAGTACCATCTTTTAACGTCTTTTGGTATGACGCAGTCGGGGATCGAACCCCGGACCTTCCGCTCTTCTGGCGGACGCTCTACCTCTACCTACGGAGGCGGTTGCCCGATCTCAGACACTAGATTTAACTTGTGTATAGTTTTATAAAAATGCATCACTTTGTCAACTTCTAAGAACCCAGGGCACTTATTATGACAAATACAGTAGCACTCACAAAATGCTTGCTTATGTTAGGCTAGGCTAGGTTCCCATTGTTGCATGTTCTAATGATCCCAGCTCTCCACTGTATAATCATTGGTGTCGGAGCATTGGAGTCATACGTCGATTCACTAACTCGAGCACATGTATGACATGGTATTCAATAATTCGTTGGGTAATTCTGTGACAGAAAAGTGTAGGAGGGAACACTGTAAGGATAATATGGATTAGAGTAAAGAATGAGGGAGGCATAAGCATGGCTAGTGATGCCACAGGGGTGAGTCAGCTTTTTAACAATCTCATTATAATCAGATCTTAGTTCACGTTGTCGCTAAACAAAGATCTGAGGACATCCCATTACGGGTCACGTCAGAACGACCTTTCATCCGACCAATCAAAGCGTCGCTTACCAGATCATGAACGTGACAGTTGGAATGTATTTTCTAATCATGCAAAATCGAAAACGTTAACACGGTGTATTCCGAACGACAGTTATGGCCAGTACAACTGATTCCGTCAAAATTATCGTCTATATTTCGCTTCCGTTGGATAAACATTTGAACGGAGGAGGCGTTGCACAGTATGTGGGAAGCACTGCCATACAATCTCAACCATATATTAGACATTCCGGAATGTTCGTTTTCAAAATTGTAAACGAGAACAGTGTCAACATATTTTTCAAGCGTAGTCTGAAATGGAAGTCGCCAGGTTGAAACGAGTGCCGTAAAGCTCGAGAAAGCTGCTTTCTAATTGGCTGAGGTCGACTTCTTGTTAGTCATTTCAGTGGTCAGTCAAAGTTCGCGAAAGGTCTTTGTGACGTGACCCGTAATGGGATGTCCTCAGATCTTTGTTTAGCGGCAGCAAGAACTTAGATCTGATTTTAATGAGATTGGTTTTTTTAATCTTTACAGAACAATTGGAGTGAGTGATAGTGAGTTGGGTGGAAGTTCCAGATCAGGCTCCGTTAGCCAAAATATTTGACACTAAATTTCATCCATCTCTCAACATTTATGTGTGAAGAATATCATAATTGCAAATTAAAGCTTAAAATATAACCAGACAAGAGCATTTATTTGCATGCATTGAGGCTTTAGCGCCAGTGCTTTAAAATGCATGAGAAGGGGGTACAACTCTTTCAGATCCCCAGCAAAGCTCTCACCTGTCATTTCATTACAAAAACAGAGATTCCGGGGTAGAATAGGTCTTCAGCAACCCATGCTTGCCGCAAAAGGCGACTATGCTTGTCGTAAAAGGCGACTAATGGGATCAGGTGGTCAGGCTTGCTGACTTGGTTGATGCATGTCATCGATCCCAATTGCGTGGATCGATGCTCATGGTATCAATCACTGGATTGTCTGGTCCAGACTTGATTATTTACAGACAGCCGTCATATAGCTGGAATATTGCTGAGTGCAGCGTTAAACAACAAACCAACCAACAAAAACAGAGCCTACAAACCTAAAAATTGATTGTAAAAGACGTCCCACGGTAGATAATGTTTGGACCGGCAATGTTGGGACGTGTGCAGCATATAATTATATACCTAACAGACTGCATGCATTCTTGATAGGTCACTGAGACTCTGAGAGGACCTTATGCACACCTGATCACTGATGACCCCAGTATCTCTGGGTTGCTGAAGTTTAATATGTGATAGGGATGTGTGATATGTGACGTTTAGTGTTGAGCTATTGCTGAATTAAAATCTGTGTGCATATGGTGTTATGAACTGGTATAAATACAATGTACATAATACAATTAATGTGACACAATACTTGAGTTTATCTTCTTTATTTTCTGTGTGCGTTATGACTTTTTTGTGACGTTTTAGACTTACGACAAGCATATTTGCCTTTTACGGCAAGTATGGGCTGCTGAAGAACTATTCTACCCCGGATCTTCATGGGTATGAGGCCGTTCTGACTCGCTACCTTACATACCTATTTCTTCTTTTTTTTAGTTTTGCTGTCATATATGTTTATATAACATAGATAGCTAACAGTTTTTCTGCTATTCAATGATATTTACTTATTATATACAGAGCTCCAGATAAGCTTTTGGTGTTGTGGGTATTTTACCCATGCATTTTAAAATCATTGGGTATCAGTAATTCTTTCTGGGTATTCAAATTTCTGTTACCCACCAGTTTTTACACATGTGGGTATTTGAGTTAAATATTTAAAACCACTAAACATCTAGTCCCTGCAAACTGGTGTCATGTGGGTTCGAGAGCTTTATACCACGATACTTCCACAAGAAAGTGTGATGGCAAATGATCATGATGTAACTGTCATCTTGGAGTTTGGCAAGGTTGACTGAATGCCCGTTTATAATTTCAAAATAAGTTGCTGATTTGCTAATCGAATACGCAGGGTTACCACACAATATTTTGATGATACGCACAAGTTTTATTTTTTTAGCGTATCTGTAAATGTTCGTTGCGTATTTGATACGCTTGGTTTTTATTTTACTGCGTATTTCTGCATTTCTGATGCGTATTTTACGCAGATACGCAGCTTATCTGGAGCTCTGTATATATAGTAACGTATTTGTAGTCATTCTGTCTTGTATTGTCTTTGAGCAATGCCCACAATATTTTCCAACAAATACCAGGAACTAGTTGAAGAATGCACGTACAGGGCTAGCGTGAACCAGAGCCATACCAATCAGAGCGTTGTCGGGTCACGTGTATGTTGCTCTTGCTGCGTATAATTCACAATCAGTGAATCCCATTCATACCGGCCACAGTGACTGACATTCTGTCATTGCACCACACTGTTGTAGTGTTCGTGGATGACATTTTCAGTTTTGCGTAAATGCCGATTCTAACCTGGTTCCCTTATTGTGACAACTTCCCCACATCGTCACAAGCAATGTGTAGTTGTTTTCTGGCGACACTCATTTAAAACATAAGAAAAGAGACGTAAATGCATTTGTAAACAAGAAATGTCAGAATGTAAACTTTACCATGTGAATCTGTGTCAGCAAGAGTTACTTCCCCTGTTTTAACACCCTCGCCAAGCTCATTCACAGTGCGTGACACTTTCGTTACTCTCTCCGTAGTATAGAGAGCTCCGCGAACGGGATATCGCTGTGATGAGCTTGACACCCTCGCAACCCAAGAGCAGATAATTCCGACTCGTCGAAGCACCATAAAATCCCAATTTGTGTTCAAATGGTCTGACTTTGGAACAAATCCCGTCTTGAAGATGTGTATAGTTACATTTTTAAGTATTGAAATTACATTTTGGAATGGTGATGATGTCGTCATTTCAATGCTCACGGGCACTGCTCAAGAACTAAAAATAAAAAACGATATCGCGTGTCGAGATCTTCACCTAGACTAACGCTTTATCTCTGAATGTACAGATGTGAGATTCAGCGAGGAATATCTAGACTTGCTTCATTTAGGGTTCTTGCATTATAGAAAGGGCTGGGTGGAAGGGAATATAATATGGTTCGGGGATAATCTGCCATATAGACCCTGAAACGAATATATCCAATACAGCAAGTACAGTCAAGTCCTGTAATGATATAATATTTGGCAAGTCTAGATTACTGCAGTATCAGGGTATCTGAAGGGGAAGAACGTCTCTGGGCTCCTTTTAATTATATTTTAGAACTATAAATTAACAACTGTTTTTTCTGTAATATATGTCCATTTCGGAGACTAGATGTTAGTCTAGTTCAGGGACTGTGAGACTAATCTACACCATATTTGGTCACGTAATGAGTGGGATCATCACATGCTCATCACGTGACGCTATATGCATCCATCTGTCGTCTGCTACTATTTCAAGGATACTTCCGACAAGAATGGGCAAATGGGCCGATCTATCGAAGTCTGAAATGAAACTAATCGCATTCGACGTGGCTAACCAAGCTTAACATGTATAGTTATAATCTAGCTCTGTTTGAAGCTGGCCCAGAAAGGTTCTTGCAATGATTTGTGACGATGAATGAAATCTGGGTCCAAAAACACTCTGCAAGTACTTGATCACTGCACGTTTCTCCTGTGTGTCCACTTTCCTTTCCACTGCACTTTCCAGTACATATATACACGATATATCTCCCCTCTTCAGTATATATACATGATATATCTTGTCGAAACGATTTAAAAATATTACTGAAATATGAAGTAAACAATACCATAAAAATCAGATCTCCTATAGGATTCCTCCCTTCATGCTGTATAAACTCTGATATTAATTTAAATTGCATAAATACGTGCAATAACTCAATATTTAAAAAATGTTTACAGGTAGTTATTGAATGATTGGAGGATGTTACGGGATATTTACACCTTTCCCAAGAAAGTAGTCCGAATATATGTTAGTCCTGCTTGATGATTTGCAATTTGTTAAAGTGTAGTATGTGCGTCTCAGGTTTAGTTTGTTTAGGATCCTTATAATAATGTCAAGTCTGTGCCCTTCTGTCTCCGACGTTGCCATTCTGGACAGAGGTAAATGATCTAATTTCAGAATCTCAAGCAGGTTTCCCTTCTCAATATCCTACCATTGATCATATGTCTACGTTACAAGCTTTATGTTCAAAATATCCAAAGGGGAGATTGTATTGTGCATTCACTGATTTTAGAAAGCCTTACTTTATTGACAGGAAAAAATGTTATATTTTCTCTTACAAAAGTGATGCCATGGGAAAATGTACAATCTGTTAAAAAGTATGTTTCCATCTGTAAAAGCAGGTGTAAAGTTGATTTCTGTGAAATCTCTTTTTTAAACACCTCTAGTGGGGTAGGACAAGGTTGCGTTTTTAGCCCTTGGCTGTTTATATTCTTTATTACTGAACTTGTGAGAAATGTATGCTGCTTGTTATCGTGGTATATATGTTACCCAAAATATCGAAGATCTGATGTTACTATTATTTGCCGATGACATTGTCCATGTCACGTATACTGTTCGGGGCTTGCAGAGACAGTAATATGTTTTTAATACATGTACATACTGTTCGATTGTTTGTTAATCTTGATAATTTGATGTTATTGTATTTGACTGCTGTGACACCATTGCCTCTCCCTGGACCGATAGTCTGGAGGACCACAGGGCCGACCCTCTGTGCAAGACCAATTCCAGCCCACACCATGATGTTCGGACCACCCCACGAGCCTCTCGCAACAACACAAGCATCCGAATAACGTTCCTCTCTCTCTCTCTCTCTCTCTCTCTCTCTCTCTCTCTCTCTCTCTCTCTCTCGCTCTGCTGTTGAGATATAGTAACGGCTCTCGTCCGAGAAGAGGACTCTTCTCCGCTGGTGGTGGCGCCAATGCTGGTGCTGAAGACGGTCCCTGCGATGACGTGGCGTCAGAATGGGTCCTCAGTGTCGCTTGTGACAGTGATGGTGTCTGCTCGTCAATCGTCGACGCACGATGTCCGCACTAATGTGGAAGTGTACACGCAAAAATCACTTTCTTTCTAATTTTAAACAAAACGCAATTTTAGAATTAGTAAGTATAAGTGTTTGAAAATATACTCTCATTTTTCTCACAGTGAAAGCAGGAAGCTCACAATAAGTGTGAAAATGTCATGCCGTTATGAGGCCTTCGGTTTCCGAGCTGAACAGGCCTGAGATTAGATTATGACGTAATGAGGTGCCAATTTAACTGGGCCCCTGTCTTGTCACAATTCAAAAGATATTATTTATGCTGATACAACATGGCATCCGATATATTGCCTGATCCGAAGAAGTTCTCTTGACCCATCAAGAAATCGCAAAACCATACGCTTATAAACCAACAAAACTAGATCTAGGGAAACGATGAAAATCAAGCGGAAACAAGAGAAGACCCACATCACCTGATGTGTCACCCGACCCCGACTCGACATCTACACAATTAGGCCTACCAGTGACGACGTGGTAAGAACAACACTTTGAGGTGTCGTGCCGGGTTAGCGAAAATCCAATTTTCCCTAGTATCAGTAAAGCGAAAACCCAAGTTGGGGTATTTGTCCCACGAAAGCGAGAAATGAGTAATGGCTATAAAAACACCGGATTACCGTAGTTTAGATTAGCGCCCGTGCTGTTCAAACAGAGGAGAGGAGAGGAGAGGAGAGGAGAGGAGAGGCGAGGAGAGTCGTTTCTTAAGAATACATACAGTATGTATTTGATGGTATATATAAAGATTGCAACTTATTTATCTATGTTCAAAATGGCTAATGCACAAGTTCGAGTGACCATGGTTGATACCGTGCGAGGTGGTCAGCACTTGTTTTATGAGATTCAAGTGTCGTTGTAAGAAAACGGTCCGTGAGAAGAAGTATTGGATTTGCGTTGTTGCGGTGATCACTGAAAACGGCATTCTTCAAGCGGAATCACAAACTCAACAAACTTGCCAGGAAGAACCATCCGAACATTTATGAAGTTGTTACGCTATTTCAAAGAGAACAATTTAACGTAGAAGTCGCCATTCAACGAATGCGAGCCCACTGGTCAGCACCACCCAGAAACTAGAAGATACCGGCTGATTGACAACCGTCTTCAGGCTCTGAAAGACAATCTCGTCAACAACGTCATCGGCGGCGTTGAGTACACAGATCACGTTGGTGACCTGATCCACTTGGAGTGAATGACAAATTTATTATAGAATGTATTTATGTATTACCATATTTTAAGATATAAGTTATTGTTGTTTTTGTAGAAATTATAATGTACATCTATGAAATATTAAAGTATTAGAGTTATTAAATTTGTTAAATGTAAAGTACTTTTGTGCAACTATACTATACTTCAGCATCTAATAAATTACTACTGTAAATACGGTATACGCATTTCTGTGTTTTTCTTGTAATTTGAGAGTCCCGGTACAAAAGAGATGTTTGTCACGCCTGGTGACTCGCATGCTTTGATTGTCAGCTGGCCTATTCATCCTGTCCCACCCTGTTACGACCCTATCGGCACTGTCGTCAATTTGTCTATATTAGGTATAACTATTCCCACCACCTATAGGCTACAGATCAGTGCACTTGGCAATATCAAGAAAAAAACACGATCTGTCGTGTTTTTTGGCTGGACTAACGAGTCTATGCATAGATATGCTTTGAGTAACACGAAAACTCTGGTACGTTCCAGTACGTTTCTGTAACGACGATCGGCTGTGTCCGTCTTAGTTCGGCCATCTCCGGTTGAGTGGAAAGCCTTCAGGTGACTGGCAGCCAATTATAGAGATCACGTGGTGCATTTAAGGCTATAGTGAGTGAGTGAGTTAAAAGTTTAACGTTACATCGGCAATAATTCAGTCATGTTGTGTCGAAACAAAATATGACAATAACAATATATATTAAATTGTATAAAAGTCTGCCGACAAACATCTTCCCGAGTCAAGAGAGTTAACTGACTATAAAAGTCCAGTTTCCACCCTTGCCGAACTAGGCTGGGATTATGGAGTTACATTTTGGCTGGACTAACGAGTCTATGCATAGACCAATCATAATAGTGCACCGAAATCGAAATCCGGTTCGTAAACTGTCGTGCAGGTTTTGGTCGATTGCAGGATTTGCAAAACATGTGCAGCGCCAACTCGTTGTCAGCAGATATTTTGCAAATCTTTTCATGTTTTTAGTTAAGGTGCTCACGTGATTTAATGCATTTCGTGATATAAGACCCGTTTTACCACGATATAGATCTTGATTATCCTTCAGATCGTCCTGACTGGGTCCCACTATTTTGTGCGAAGCGAACGCAAGTAATACAATAGGTGGAATCTGATTGGTCGGTAGAAGAGGTTTAGAAGTGGCATGACTGGTAATAGCCACTAGTGGTGGTACGATCGAGCCCAGTAATTCCAGCCTAGTTCGGCAAGGGTGGGAACTGGACTTTTAAAGTCAGTTTACTCCCTTGCCTCGGGAAGATGGCCGACAAAGGGCAGTATAATAACTAGAATATCAGAGATTTCGTAAAACTACTTTGAGAACATGTAAAAATCGATAACTAACTAATAATTCAACAACACATTATAAAAACGGGCTATAGTTCGCCACCGACTGAAGGTAGATCACCATGTACAGTACTTTTGCTACCTGCTTGTACCCCAGCT